TACCTTAATAATTAGGAAACTATTTTGCTGATGACAGATTATTTTTAAGGAACTGGATAGTCAAAATGCTAATGATAGTAAATTGTCTCTAATTTCATTTTTACAGAAATCAACTTAGTCCTAATAGCTAATAGCTGTTACCCTAGTGTGTCACCCCATTTTACTACATAAGTATTAATAAAAAAACTATGGATTGGTCAAGTTAGGCTGAAATAAACAAAACAGAATACAAACAAATAAGTGTTAAAATGGAAACTGTTTAACCTTCAAACGACTGAAATTGCCATTCTAGGCCAAATATTTTATCCGAATATCTACATTTTTGAACTGATGACATGGCGAGGGAAATAAGTTACCAAACTCACTTAGTACTTCTTACTTCCTATAGTAGCCTAAAACTGATCAAAACCTCAATAAACAAGTAAAATTGTTTAGTTATACTGCAGGTATGCTACGATAGGGGTAAACTTATCTTAGGTTGGTATTAGGTTAGGTAAGTTAAATGATGTATTTGTAGGCTAAGTTAGGGACTTACATAGATCCTCTTCAGCACAATCGTAGAGACCCGCGAATCATCAAATTCTATTATGGGGGGTAGTATTTGTAAGTGTGAAGTGTAGTGAGAATTTATAAATTCGGGTAACCATATTCCGTTCTTCAAAAGATTCATTAAGTTGGGTATGCGCCCATGTTGCTAAATGTTTAAGTAATGCCCTGATCTAATCTTGTATAGAAGGCATTCTTGTCTTATTTGAGGGGGTTGTGTTTACAGGCTGTAAGTTTATTGTGTCTAAAATTTACTGGGAGACGAGGGCAAGGATTTGGTGCTTCTGTACTAGGCCTACGCACACACATTAAGTTGAAACAAAACATGTTGTGTCTAGAAATTATGCGTCTCAATTCATCAGTTTAACTTTCAATTAAAGAGCAAGAATATCAAATATAACCAACTAACCTCATCGTACATGAATTGTAGAGTAAGTGCAGATTTCCCTACACCTCCACTTCCCACCATGATCACCTTGTGAAGGGCTGGTTGTGTGCTTGGCTTCTTTGACATCTTTGAACCTGCAATCGATAAAGTAATAAATTAAACTTTTTTTAATGTCAATTAGCTTAGGTACCTACTAAAATTCTAGAACCAATTTGCAGTAGACGCACGTGGTAAATTGGTACTTTCGTATTATACAAAGGCCACTTAGAGGGATTTGTTTACCGGAGACCAATATTAACTAGGTCAACATAATTGGAAAGAACATCCTTTAATTGACTTACTGTCTGAATTTGACATGATTGCGATTAGCGGCCTTTGGGTTCTTCCTCCCAGAAGGCAGCGATGTCGGCAAGGATTGAGTTGAATGCGTCGCCGCAACTATAGCTGCCACATGTACTCCGGCAAGTAGGTATACAGTGCGCTGCGGCAGTTATGTTAGGTTGTGTTATAATAAATATGTTTGTAGGACTTTCCTCGTTTCGTTATGAATCGAACAAAACCAGATGAGTCATGACTCAGGACACTGACGCAGATATAGGCCTACAGGCGGTGATGGGTGATGGGTGCGCTCCATTCAACAACCTGTCCTTGGCCTACTCGGAAAGGATTTGGCGGGCAAAAGAATGACTTATCTCATCTGGTATCGTTTCGATTCACGAAACGAGGAAAGTTCTACAAACATGTTTATGATAACCCAACCTAACATAACCTCCGCAGCGTGCTGTATAAGAGCGGCCTCCATATAATACGTAAGTACCTATATATAATAAAGCTGATGGGGTTACAACTGCAGATTTAATCATTAAACTGTTTAACGATAACATGAGAAAACTTAAGGGAAATTTCTACCTATATCTTGGTAGAAAGATTATTTGAATAGCCTAATGAGTTTAAATGCTTTACTCTCAGCCACACAAGGAATAATGAAAAACTTGTAGCTTTCTATTGGATTCAAGACAACGAACGAGTGTGCTCACGGCCCACGGGGCATTTCTAGTTAAACTACTTACATCTGGTTAAATTGTTCAAGAGACAATGTTGTACGTAGTGAAGGTACTAGAAGACAAAAACCTACCAGCTCCAAAAGGGTGAAAAAAGGGACTAAAGGGGAGGTTATTTCACATTTGGATAGATAAACTAACAACTGGATTGTAAGTTCTACAAACCAATAAGAAAATATCGATATAGACCAATTTGTATATACCAAGGCAAAAATGTGGTTCGGATTCCACTATTAACTGTAGGTCCCTTAGTTGCCATTAGCTGTATGGGCTATTAATTAATAGCTGTGTCTAAGGAATGTCGGCCTTAGTCACTAATAAGACTACAAGATCGAGTCACTCATCTCCATTCATAACTCGGCTTAAAATACCTAGGTACTTTGTATGGTCGCCATTTAATAAGGAAGAAAGAAAGAAAGAAATACTAAGTTAGTTACTGATAGCCTACTGGGCTGGTTTCAAATTAACTGGATATTTTACAGATTAAGATCTAAACTCAAGCCTAGAGTTAACTTGGTAGGGGTATCAATGGAACATCAGGCCAGTGAAATTTTCTGAGAATAAGTTATTAGGATTACATTATTGTTATTTATATGCACGTTTCTGTTTATCTTTAGGTTTTATTACATCAGTTACCGCTCTTAGGATCTATATATTAGTATTAATGCAGTAGCATTCTGGTTAGGTGCCCATTGAACTGGTGGCAAGGCAAAAGAGGCGTTGCCACTTATGACTGCAAGAGCCACTCCCTAAACAAAAACGAAATAGATCCAAGCTAACCACCAATTTTTTATATTTTAAATAAGGGTGAATCAAACTTTGATGAGATAAATATCATACATACCTTATGTAAAATATCTCAAAATACAAGCTACAAACACTTTTCAACTAGCAGAACGCCAGAACAGAACAACTGGCCAACCAATAAACAAAATTTGTCACTAATAAACAGGGTGGCCACTCACTCCGCAAAGTTATAAGAAAATCGGCCTTATAAGCATTGAGTAGATACGTATGTTTCAACGCTATGGTTATAGTTTAAGCTTAAAATAATTATTCGCACATAGAGTTAGATTTATTGTAATAAAATCTTCCCAGGATTTCCCATTATCGGAGCCATATCGGATGAGAACCAAATTCTGGTGTTTGCAAACTCGATGTTTTGCTTTCACTTATTTAATCATTTAATGTAAATAATTATCCTTTTGATTTATTTATTTTATAAACGGCGATACACATTGACAAAAATGCATTTCGCTTAGATTTACAATATTTAGACACTACAGAAATACACCAAATTCTCAATTTGTTTTAATCTTTCTTTACTTTAGTTTTAAAATAAATAGTGACATCCTACTAATATTATAAATGAGAAAGTTTGGATGTATGGATGTATGGATGTATGTTTGTGACAAGTGAACGTGAAAAATACTGGTCGGATTGGGCTGAAATTTGGCATGATGATAGCTCACATTCCCGATTAACATATAGGCATATTCTTATTTCAAAAATCCTTTCGGGCTCCGCCCCAGTGGCTCTGGAGTTTCCCATGTTATGGAGTTTTCCATGCTGGAGAAATGGAATTATTGAATACTAGCTGTAACCCGCGGGCTTTGCCCCGTTTAACATCTTAATTTTCAAGATTATCTCGTTCGCATGGCTCAATCACGTCCTGGTTGAAGTTTGTTCGCTACGCTCACTCATTTTTAGGTTGGAGCTCGTTCGCTGTGCTCACTTGCCTTCAGGTTAGCTCGTTCGCTACGCTAACTCGCCCCCAGGTTGAAGTTCGTTCGCTACGCTCACTCACCTTTTGGTTGCAAATTAGCTGTTGTCATAAATGTAAAAGAAATAATAGTGCTGCACCCTGTTGGTAATCCTTGTAACTTTAATGCTATTGAACATCATAGAACAGAACCAACTTGTTTAGTTAAAACAGCTGTTAAGATTCATTAATTCCATTTCTCATAAGGTTAACATGGGAAACTCCAGAGCCACTGGGGCGGAGCCCGAAAGGATTTTTGAAATAAGAATATGCCTATATGTTAATCGGGAATGTGAGCTATCATCATGCCAAATTTCAGCCCAATCCGACCAGTATTTTTCGCGTTCACTTGTCACAAACATACATCCATACATCTATACATCCATACATCCAAACTTTCTCATTTATAATATTAGTAGGATTAACAGCTGTTTCAATTAAACAAGTTGGTTCTGTTCTATGATGTTCAATAGCATTAAAGTTACAAGGATTACCAACAGGGTGCAGCACTATTATTTCTTTTACATTTATGACAACTAACAGGTAATTTGCAACCAAAAGGTGAGTGAGCGTAGCGAACGAACTTCAACCTGGAGGCGAGTAAGCGTAGCGAACGAGCTAATCTGAAGGCAAGTGAGCGCAGCGAACGAGCTCCAACCTAAAGGTGAGTGAGCGTAGCGAACGAGCTCCAACCTAAAGGTGAGTGAGCGTAGCGAACAAACTTCAACCAGGACGTGATTGAGCCATGCGAACGAGATAATCTTGAAAATTAAGAAGTTAAACGGGGCAAAGCCCGCGGGTTACAGCTAGTAGGGTATATTTTAAACCAGTTAGTAACAACGTCCAACAACGTAGTAATATTCGCAGTTATGAAATAATTCAAAAGTTAAGTTATGTGATTTCCATTCCAAGTTATTACCATGCAAACATAGAAACATATAAGGGAAACTACCATAGACGGGAGTAATACATTTTATTCTATGTTATTAACCTCCTTATAAGCCACAAGATATTGTGTAGCAGCTACATGGATAAATTTTATTTAGGCCGTAAAGCTTATGTATGTAGACACATTATAATAAAAAAAAAAAACATTCCCAAACATAACAACAATAAAAATACCTAACTAACCTACAAACAAACAAGTTGGATTGGGCACTGCATTAATTTATTTAATTTGTTGTTTAGGCCTATTTTCAAAGGAGAAATCATTTTGGATAACCAACACTGTTGGCTAAGCCACCAACACTGGAAAGAAATAATGACTGTTACATTATTATAATCCTGCTAAACCGTGAAAATGGATGTTTTCCTAAGCAAAGTCTTTCTTTCATTGGAAACATTTTTACAGAAGGTAAGTAATAATTTATTATTATTATTTGCCGGGGCGGGAGGGATGTGTATTTTAATTTATCAATGTCAAAATATGTTGTCCATCTACATTACTAATTAGCTGCTATTTTAAGTTAGCGTAGTTTCTAGCTGCTGTAGGATTCAATGACCCTGCACAGATGGGCCAACAAATTATTGAATTTGGGGTTTATTAATAGCAGAGCTACACAAGGTCTAATTAGGCTACCATTCAAGTGATACAGGAAGCTATAGAAAAGCTATACAAGTTCCAGCTGCCAAGTACGGCCGAATCCAGAGAAAAGTTGGGAGATTTAAAGGAGTGGGGTTGGCCCTGTAAAGAGAAATATTGGGAATTTTTGCACTAAACACACTTAGAGGTAGCTTAGACTTTTATAAGCGGTATTCCAAACAAGCTTGAATTAAAATATCAAACTTAAATATAACTTACATGGATTATATCAAACTTAAATATCAATCGTTATTTCTGTAAAGGCCTAATGATCGATACCTAATAATAACACATGGGCATGTTAGCTACCTATAGATAGATGTAGTATTCATACCTATAGATGAATATTTATAAAATTAACAATTGTTCCTAAATGGCGCTAGCCTAAGTGAAACTTTTGGAAATTAAATGAAATTACCTTTAAAGACGATCTTATTTGTGTAAAATACCGGCACCTCCAAGAACTGGAATTGATTCCCAAACCATCTAATTGCGATATTTGCTTAGATGCTTTGAAAGTGATAACTTAATTAAAGGAACTTTCATGCATTTCGTTATGCAACAAAGGTGTTGTAAGTTATCCAGGAATGTGAATGTAATAACATCAAATGTAAATAAATTCAAGTTTTTTCGTGTTAAGTTAGTTTCTTTATAATTATAACCTACGATATAAAATAATGACAAACTGAAAGTGATTGATGTATCGATATATTTAATTTTGATATTTTCATTCGGTTGTTTGGGATGCCGCTTATGAAAGTCTGCCCCACACTTAGTTAAGAGAAAATATCAGATTTTTTTCTTATCCAATTAAAACATGTGTATCTAGGCTAATGTATGTGGCACTTGAAACTGCCTTTTCTTCATAAGGAGATATTCTGTTATGGAAAGTGCAGATTTGTTTCAAACTGTTAAAGATATCCTGGACATGGACTTCTTGTAGGCAATGATTTAAGTAACTAATCAGGTGCAGGCAATTTAAATATGTTTTACTTTATTATAACATTATTATTTTTAAACTAAATTTTTTCTTTGTTTCAGGCAACAACATTGAACATATTTGAAGCATTAATATTTAACTATAAGATAAAAATAAATTCAGTAGAACAATGTTCACCACAGTTTGTTGGTTTTGTCATTGATTTATGCAACGAGTTACAGGTAAATTATTTCACCTATATATGATTGAGATTTATTTACTTTAAGAACAAATTATTTGAATCAGAGATAGGTCTCCCTAAAAAGGTCTTAAAGCTCTCATGTTTGTATGTTTAATTTCAAACCTACGTAATAAGGTGGGTAGAATTTAACTAAACTATTTGAGGTTGAAATGGAAGTAGCGTAATCAGTTGCTATGTATTTATTTATATTTTTGTAAAATATTTATAAAATCTCTTATGATGAGTTTCTTCAATGGTAAGTTAGAGAATTGAAACATCCGTTGTTGCTAATATTTATTGCAAAACTTCCAGTTGAGTCTACGAGATTGTGTCGTTGAAGTGACTGACAAGCAAGATGTCATCAATCCTTCGGAGACAACCTTCTGTGACTTGCCCAATAATACTGATATAGCACCCGCTGAGTTTGTCACCTTCACTACCACAACTACTACTGACCTGGGTAAGTTTTACGTTTTTAAAACCATTATATACATTTTTCAAACACATGTAGGCTACTTTGAAAGAGCGTTGGTTAATTTTAAACTCATTTGAAAACCACAGACAGTTTTTTTATACAAGCATATCCAAACATATCTTTGCAATTTTTAACATTGAAACCTTTTTTTTTGTAAGTAGCTCTTTTCAGAATTGACGATTTCTTTTACGTGAATTTGTAACAAACTTTTCAGAGCCAAACGCAGAAGAAGGCTTTGTCCCAAAAGAGATTGAAGCTGCAGTGGAAGAACCGCTACCCATTGTCGTAGACCATGAAAAACAAAAGGTCCACACTTGTGAATTTTGCAACAGGTAAATTTTTAAAAGTTTATTTTGTCTTAGTTTTTGCAAGAACAGACAAATAGGTTACTAAAAGTTATGCCTACATGTAAACTATTGTAGATATTGAATAAGAATGATGTGATATTTTTGTAAGTAATTTTTAGTTAATTTAGATCGGAAAAAGTTGGGCTATTATTAAGTTAAAAGCTGTATTGATTCTAAATAAAAATGTATTTTGTAAAATGTATTTGTAACTTATATATTTGCAGTCTAACAAAAGTTTGACGTTAGATAGTACCAGGGTTTGGGTGTTCCCTCATGAAAATCGTAAAAAAATGTCAAAAAGTATTCTGTATCAATGACAAATTACATCTTGAGCAGAATCTATACGGTACTGCTTAAAATGTCTCAAATCAAAGGTGAGCATAGCTACGTATAGACAGTTAAAAACTGTAACTTTCGTCTTTTGTTTCTTCAACAGGAAGTACAGGACAAATGAGAAACTGTTGAGACACGTATGCAAGTCTGCGCCTGTGCTTGATTGTCAGGACGATGAGTTGGAAGACGATTCAGAACCTTCAGACTTACCACAGGTATGTTGGTTTTGTAATTTTCAATTCCCATTGATGCTTAGAGCATTTATTAACGTTTCTCGAAACTAGATTCGAGGAATGAAATATGTCTCCTTCCTCTATGAATCTTAGATGTCTTTTTCCCCCCAAAGGGAGAAAAAAGATTGTTTGATGCCTTTAAAAATCCTATAGTAGGCAAGCCAAAAAAAATTACCATCAATGTGTTAGGATTCTACCTTTTAACAAGTAATTTAGTAGATGCAGACCTTATCTCTTGGTACATTAGCCACATTGTAGCCCTTTTGCACCCTTCAGAGTCTGTCAATATTCAGATATCCACAAACTGTGCATCATGCTGGTGATATCTGCCTGAGGCAAGTGTCTGTCCAATACCATGGCTTTTTGTAACCTCAGTTAGTTATGCCATTGATTTTCTAACATCAAAATATTTTACACAATCACGTGAGACAGAGAAAAAAGATTGAGCTTGTTTTTCTTGAGATTTTGAGACCCCTACCCATCTCTGGTGTTCCTCCTGATCCCATAAAAAGACGACATGCATCACTACCATTTATTATAACTTAGTTATTTTTGTTTTCAGATATCACATAGACCTGAGTCAAGCACGGATTTGTTCGTTTGCGCCGTTTGTTTTGCCAGTTTCTCTCAACAAGATCTGTTCGACCAACACACACACACAGACGAATCTCTGGTAAGAGTGAAGTGAGAAGAGAAAGTAGGGCCTAGTAGAATTGTGTAAAACATTTGTTTGTTAAATTTACAATTGTTCGATGTTAGTTTTACATTTACTAGGCTCCTCAGGTTTCCTTTTGATGTTTGGTGAACAATGCAAACATTTGGGAAATCAAGGAATAATAACACTGCAGTTCTCTAACCAAGGATAGAAACTAATCAGTTGGATTTTCCACTGCAGTACATATATACAACTGAAGACTAAGATAGTTTTAGTTTACTAGTTTAGGTATTTTAACATTGATTGTTCTCTATTTGATTTGTCTAATTCATGTCCTCTGACATATCATAGATTATCAAATTTTACAATCTACATTCAATTTAATATTTGAAAATGGTAAAAATTCAACAGATTTTTTCACTGACAGAAGAATATTTATTGTAAATTTAATTTTTTTATACTGAACATTAAAAACGTATCTATTAAGTGTTGTGATTTTTTTTTGCACCAGGAACTCTTTTTATTAGGTATTTTTTTATCCATTCCTTATCGCTTATATTTCAAAGCTAACTTTTTCCAAAAACCATCTCAATTGTGAACTTTCTCCGGTGTTTCTCAGGGAGTGGAGTTGCTGACGGACGTGTCGAGGCTACAGGCACAGCGCAAGTTCACATGTGGCGTGTGTAGTGAGGTTTACCGCAGCTTGGCGCGCATCTCATACCATGTCGCTCATTGTAGTCAAGGCCCCTACCATTGCGAGCTGTGCCCATACATGGCACATACCAAGCAGCTGCTTAACCGGCACAAGAAGAAACAACACAAGTCAGTAGACTAACTGTAGTCTGGTTTTGTAAACGATAGACAATATTATTACGACAAACTTGGTCTTCTAGGTAGAGCGTGTTTTTTATGTAGCCTGAATTGCAAGTATAGAGACACTGTTTAGGGGCAAAAAAAGTTGATAAGTTGACAACCCTATTTTTTTACTTCATTACTGGTCAGTTGATGTGAATTGTTGCATTGTTGTCTACACAGTTTAGGGTAGTTTAACATTTGTTGTAAATAAGATTCAACATGGTTTCTTTTAAAATGTAACATATTTTTAGATTGATTAAAGGGAGTATATGGAAACTATAATCATTGTATTATTGGTTTAATTTCATGTAGGTAGTTATAATCTTAATGTGTTCTTCTGCAATATACAATCTTTGAGCTTGTGAAAACACCATGTTGAGTCTATTCACAAGAAATTCCTTACAAAACTTAACCACATTAATATCAATTCAACCACTTTGTCCTTTGTTGCCTAATGATTGCTCCATATAGGAGCGGAAACTAGTTTGCTTTGTAATTTGAATGGGTTGCCTAATAGCAGGTATTCAAACAGCTTTAATATTATTCAGAAATTCGGTAGCTAACATCAACAATTAACCTACTGATGTACTTCTCTTTCTAGATATTTTTTCTCTGTTTTACCCCTATCATTTGAAGACCAATTTTCCCTAAGAGGGATCGCCAGAAGACATATTAAACTCATAGTATCAAAAGTAAATAAAATTAACTCTAATTTTTCTCTCCAGGGGCGTGGAGAGTTTCTTCTGCACAGAGTGCGGACTGGGCTTCAAGTTGCGCACTTCACTACAGAAACATCTGGTAAATAGACACGAGAGTGTGCAAGATCACTTCCCCTGCGACGCAGACGGCTGCGGACTCGTGTTCAGTAAGAAGGTGCAACTGACCAATCATAGGATAGAAGTTCACGGCGCACAGCGCAAGTTTTTATGCCAGGTAAGAGACGAATAAGATTCATACTGTAAGGTACAAGTAAAACAGTTGATAATTAATTTACATGTTTAATGTTAAGGCATGGACATATCCAGAAAGTAAATTATTGTTTTGTCTGTAAAAGAAAGGAGCGGGTAGCGGTAGCGGCCATCAAGTTGTCGAAATGGCTGTACAAATGTTCATGATAAAGAGCATAGTGGCTGCAAACTTTGTTGAAAGAGTTGGCGAAAAAGTCAGAGAAAACCATGAGTTAACAATAACAGAACTCTCTTGTAGGTTTTAAGGATTTTGGTTAGGATAGTAGACACAAAAAAACACAAAATACTTATTACTATAAAAAAAATGTCAGATTATTTCACTGTCACTGACAGCATTTTCAACCAAAGAGGGTGTGAAATATATGTGCTTGATGTGGTTATATGTGCTTGATAATTTTATTTATGACAAAACCAAAGGTTATAAGAGGTTATATGAGAGGCAAATGATTTGATAAGGCATCTTAAGCCTTGGAACTAAAGTAATCGGGGAACTACTGTACAGATTGATGATGGTAAAGGTAATGTAACTAATTTATTTTGCATAGAGAATTCTACCGTATCTCAACCTATTGATGTTTTGGATATTCCTGACCAACAAACAACAAATTCAGCAAACTGAAGTTTACATATTCACAGTCCTAGTCAACTTCGTGGTAGAGGTCTAAATGCGAGTGGAAACCCATACCCTATGTTTTCATGCTAATATACACATATCTTTGAGTAGTAAAATATTTTGACTGAAGCTAGCTAGTTTAGTGGTAGAGCGGACTTTGGTCCTTGAGGTCCCAGGTTCAAATCCCACCGTTCACCAATGGATTTAAAAAGTGCTGCAATCCTCTAGCCCTAGTTTGAAGCAATGTGTAAAATAGTTTCGGACTAGAGCCTTTATGTGCTTTAACGTACTTTGTCAGACAATCGTTGACTAAGCATCAAGACTACATGTAGAAATGTGCATTTTACTCATTATTCGTCAAATCACTCATCGGAGCTATAAAAATTAATTATGAATACAATTATTAATTAATTATGAAATTTTATAGATGCTCAATTGTTGATTACAAATACATTACAGGTTTGTGGTAACAAATTCATGACCCAAGACAGTCTTTCAAGCCACCTCGAGTGCCACTCAAACAAGAGAAGATTCGAGTGCCAATATTGCGCGAAACTTTTCAACACCAAGGAAAAACTCACACTCCACGTCCGCACTCATACAGGTATGTATTTCCTTTATGTAGGCCTATCTTAACCCTTGATCTGGCAAGGGTCGATTATCGACCACTAAAACGCAAGTCCTCAGTGGCGTTGGTCGATTATCGATCAAGACGATATGGGTCAGCGTTTTCTATTATTAAAATATGAAAACGTTTTAAATCACATTGAATCTTATACCATTAGAAAGATGAGATTCTGAGGATTCATTTTCATGGATAAAACATTATTGAACGAGTATTATGTGGCGAGGAACATAGTTTGAAAAACTAGAGGGTTCAAAATATATTTTGCTACTTTTCTAACTTCCCATATTTTAGTTTAAAACTTTAGATAATGTAAACTTTAGCTATTCTAATTAGTGACACAGTCTAGCAGGGATTCTGGTTTGAGCTAAAATTCCTAAGTATTCAAGTACATTGGACCGGTATCATTGGAAAAAAAATACAATTTGAATTTACCATAGATTAAACAAACTCCCTTATTGGTTTCCATATCATCCTTAAGGATCAACTTTAGAAATTTAAGGGTAGTTCTATTCAGTTTATTTATAGAGTGCTTTGTTTCTTATAATTTAACTAACATTTAAACTATTTTAACTTATTAGTACTCTATGTGTACACTATTGCTAATCCTATAGTGTTAATAAAAGAGTCAAGGATCAAATTGTTAACCCTACCTGAAAATATGAGAAAAAACATTGACACCACCAGTGCACTTAGTTGTCACCAAAATAAAACACTCGTAAAAACATTCAGATTTTTCGATGAAAAATCTATTTATGCCACTTAAAGTCAATTTATTTATGCAACGTTAATTTCACTTGTAGGTGAAAAGCCTTACGTCTGCGACAGAAGCGCTTGTAGCAAATCTTTCATTTCCAAGTCCAAACTTGTGGAGCACATACAGCGACACAACGGGGAGAAAAGGCACAAATGTTCAGTTTGTGGCAAACAATACGCTAACAAGCCGGACCTACGAGCACACATACGCAAGCTGCATGGGGAACACAAGCAGACGACGGACGTGTACACTCAACAGCTGGTACCGTCACTACAGCTGTTTCCTGTTAGTGTGCCACAGAATATGGTCATTACTAGTTTTGAGACAGTGGTTACGATATAGTCCTTGGTGAGTACAGTATATTCCATGTGTTTTGTTGAGCTATTTAATCAGAAATTTTAAATCTCAAAACTGAAACCAAAACTTAACATTATTGGATATTGCACAATATTTTGAGAGCGGAAAGGAGAAAGGAAATGAATAGTTTTTGTATCTATGTCACCATTTAAGATTAAAAAGGAGGCTTTCGGAATTTTTTCTTTTAAATAATGAGTGAAAAAAATATCTGCAGTTTCTGTTCTGGGTTTTTAATCTCGAAACTTGCCAATTGAATCTTGAAACAAAACCGAAACTTTTTTCAAAATTGTGGTAGTTTTGAGATTTGGTTTTGACACATCGCTACTTTCCATGTTAATTTGGTAAGCTAATTTTGAGTTGTCTAAGCCATTGGCATTTCAACCAATAAAAATCTAGCTGCCTTTAAAAACAAAATTTTTTAAAGAACAGGTTTTAAGATTTTTGTTACTATGAAATGTTACTTTTTATAAGTAATTTATATAATTAGGCCTACTTGCCAGAGTACCTGCGCTTATAAATTTTAAACTCAAGTTAATAAGGGAACATGTATGAAATATCTTTATTTATAACACTACAACCTGTAACCTTCAATTACCTAACTTAACCAATCCTTTAAGATAAATATTGTAAGGAGGAATTTAACGGTAGATTCTCAATTATCAGACTTAAACTGGCCTCACAGCATATTTAAGCAGAAAGGTTCAATTTCAAAAAAATATTTTTGTTTAATTAGACCAATTGTAAACATGTTAAAAATCATTAAGTTAATTCGGGTTTCCTGTCGTACAATCTATTCAAGGCAAATTATAATATAACACACACTACACAGAGAAGTAAAGTACAAAGAAAAGTTGCTTATAGGACGACCTTGGTTACAGGTCTGGTATGTTGTACTGGCAATATACTTGTGATGAGCAAAGAGGAGTCCGAGCAGCAAGCATTGTGTAGAAATTCCTTTTACACAGGGCACAGGGTCTTCCTCCATCTTGAGCGTTGTTGTACATGAGGGGGTATTGGACTGTGCCCTAGACACCAGAGACTAGTGCTAGACAGCTCTCAAGTGTACCATTGAATGTTTCCTTCTGTACTTTACTTCTCTGTAGATAAAACGATACTCAACTGCAAGTTTGCGTTTTGCAAATGCTTGGGGTCGCAAAGAGATGCAGGTATGAGGGTTGACGAACTGGTAATGTGAAAAATAATTTGAAAGTACAGTCAAGTGCAAAAGTCTGAAGTCAAGCTTATATATATGAGTAGGCCTACTGACAGGTGCCAGTTGCGGCAACAAAGATTGTCTCAATGTATCCACTATGGTGTATAGTCTTATCACAATGAAATATAACACAATTTAACAGTACTAGATCGTTCGTAGGGAGGGTCATATAGCACAGAAGGTTGTATAGTCGAGACTATACTGAACTTCATGGTCTAATTTTGAGACTGGTATAGTAAAATTTTGTATGTACCTTTTTAGTATTTAAAATTTTCATGTTTTTACCGTTCTAAACATTATTACATTTTTAAATATTTATGAATAAGTTCTGCAATAAAGAATCTTATATAATAAACAAATTTGGGATTTCTTTTCCGAGTTCGTTTGGCTCTTCTACCAGACCGATTTTCATGATTGACGTCTCAAATTGAAGGTATTCACGCTCAGACTTGCCATCAAGCATCGGCATATATTTGTCTATAATCCCACTCGGCTTTTACGTAAACTAAATTTGCACCCCATGTATTTCTTATGGAAGTTAAATTTGGTTTCTTTTCCCCGAGTACGTTTGGCTCTTCTACTCGACCAATTTTTATGATTAAAGTCTCAAATTGAAGGTATGCAAGCACAGATTTGCCATCAAGCATCGGCATGTATTTATCTATAACCCCTTTCGGCTTATATGTAAATGAAATTTGCCCCCCATGCATTTCTTATGGGAGTTAAATTTGGTTTTTCTTTTCCAAGTTCGTTTGGCTCTTCTACCCGACCGATTTTCATGATTGAGGTCCAAAATTGAAGGTATGCACACAATCATTTCACATCAAGCATCGGCATATATTTACCTTCTGTATTACTCGACCTAAAAAGATAATTTGATTCATTTTCGAATTCTTAATTAAATTCAAAATGTATTTTACCAGTTATAATTATATAATCCTATGTTTTGTTCTAATTCAGTGAAAATTAGTTATTCAAATCGGACGATTTTCAAGCAAACGCAAGGTGAACAACCAACATAAAACTATGATTAAAAATCAATAGCTCCACTATAAGTTAATGGTTTTTTATATGTTTTAAACTCAAAATTATCAGTAAATTATAGATTCAAATAATTTGAGCTATTGATAGTTTTAATCAGTTAAGCTCAAGATACTGTATTACTCAATCAATAATCATAAATTTGATTATTTCTCGGATATTATATTTATATATTTATTTTAACGCTGCGGAGCAGCATGGGTCCTCTAGTTAAGTTTGAATGTGTAAATTTGAATTTGTATTTTTATAATAAACACTTATGTACCATAATGATTCTAAGTGTATTGTTTCATCCTACATAATTCCTTAATAAAATTAATTACAATGCATTTAGCTAAAAACTGATACAAAACGAAAGATCATTACCAAGAAAACATCATGTTGTAATTTAATTTCTTTCAGCCAAGTCACATTTGGCATTCAGTTCTTTGCAAACTGAATTTATCTTTTCTGTTGATTACAATTCTGGTTTAATTGTATTTTTGACTTCTTATATTACTTGAATTCAGTGTAAACTAATTATTACAATATAATTGTGGATATTTATAGGTATGCACTGTGGATGCGATGCTCACTGGTGTGGATTAACGTCCGCACTAGTGAGTACTACGACTATCCGCAGTACTATCCTGATAATTAGACCAATTTGTAAATTACAAGGAAAAATGTGGTTCGGATTCCACTATAAACTGTAGGTCCCTTAGTTGCCATTAGCCGTATGGGCTATTAATTAACAGCTGTGTCTAAGGAACATGTCGGCCTTAGTCACTAACAAGACTACAAGATCGCGCCACTCATCCTACACTCATCCTTCACTCATATTTGGGTTAAAATACGCACATAGTGGCGTCCCCATCTTAAATAATTGATAATTGATTGATAATGAACATTAAAGGGTCTGCAATACGATACATACTTGACAAATGCCTGTGGAGAGATATTCCTCTTGATTTTCCCTACGCTTATTGGAGGAGGTAGGCATGAAATAATAAATTACAAGTGTTTATGATTTTATCCCCCTTGTACCCTCTGAAGAAGTAAAAAAATTGAGTGATTGTGACATTTAATGTGTAGCAATAGCAATTGCCTCCTCTACTACGAGGCTGCGGTGAGACAAAAGTGACAACGCCGCTGTCTCAGCCTACTAAAACAGCTGTTGTACTAATTCATAATGGAGCGTCAGCGCAATGATCATGTTTAGACGTTTGTTATTACTTTTATTACCATGGCAGCCAACATGACTTTGCCACTCATCAACTAGAGGAGGCTATGGAATACCTCCAATAGCTAATCTAATCTTAGCAATCGATTATCATATGAATTTTCTCAGTTTAACTTAATAATTTGGAAACAATTGTCAAATAGTACACAAATAAACTTGTATGTATACGCTTCCATTGAGGTGTAGGTGTCTCTAATCTAACTAAAATGTTTTTTTAGTACTCCATCATTTTACTCCACCAACATTACGCTTTACAAAGCATATCTTCATCTTCACAACTTCCACACTACTGCAATCTGAAACTGGATAGGTGGAAAATCAAACGACACATCTGTTTTTAAATTTTTTTGAAAATGAAATATAATTTGCTTTATAATAACGAACAAATATAATTAGTCGTCATAGTGTTAAACCACAATGCATGTTCGCATTGGATTAACTTTACTTAAAATCTACCTATTTGTATTAATATTAATCAAGTATGACTTGCCCCTCTGGCCAATAAAAACATTCTCACACTTACAGAACGAACAAACGGTTGAACGATCCGATCGCTGTTGGTACTGGCAGTGGAGATTAGCATGGGCGTCGCTACCTCGTACGAAGTCCGTTCGTCCGCCAAGCTGTCCCGCACCAGACCCGTGAACCCGCAGTCACCCGCCAATATCGCCGTAGTCGAGGGATATAGAACTTATTGTTGTACGCTTTGAACGTGGTTCAAAAACTAGTTCATTGGAAAATTTTTTCCGATCTTTAGAATATTAAAAAATTATCGCCGATGACTATGCGGTCCACTGTTCTGGTACGTCTGAATACAAATTTAGAAAGAGAATAATATATTACATGAGCCCAGCGCGGGCCGAGTCGAGTAACAACTAAAACACTTGTCAACCACAACGAAAAAACACGGTTGAGCTTCACATTCGGTCCGACACACTGTAACAAAACTATTTTACATGTGGTTCAAAACTCATCATGAGCAAGAGAACTTAACAACAGGTAAATAGAGTACTTTAGGATAACATAATTAATTCAACAAAATGTATTACGCATTTTCTAATAATTTACAATAATTTCTACACATCTTTCACGGGAAAACATCTTAATTTTTAGTCGTGTTTTTTAGTGTACATTTTTATTTTTATAGAACTAAAATCAAGAATGATTTATAAACTTTAAATTTAGTTTTAATCATTTAATTTAACTATTTAAGTATTAAATAGTTGCCAGGTAAAGCTGAAAAATAACAGTAAAAACATTATTTAATTGCAAAATCATTGGAATATTTATTTGTGGACATTATTCTGGTACTCTATATTCATTTTAACTTGCACTAACACAAAATCTCTTCTATCTTTAATTCAATATAGTAAATACAAATTAATCATATAATTGTTAATTTACTGCATAGAAAACAAATATTTAGCTTTAGAATATAAAAAACTTCACACAGCTGAAATAAAACGATAAAGTTGAATTTCCAAGATGTTTTCCCTCAGTCTGCTGTACAGACAACATTAACAGATGGCCGTAGCGGCCGTCCACACAAATAAACTTACGACTTCTATAAATATTTACAGAACATTTCAATAAAGGTGCCCAAGATCTGAGCGATTGTCAGATTATGAGACTTATTACACTGTTTTGAGCTTAACAATTTACAGGCCTTAATGTAAAATAACACCATCTGTAAACCAAGTGTAAACCTTTATTTGATAAAAGTACTTTAGGTAAAACTTAACAAATCGAAACGTGGCTCAATGCCATCACAATCTGTTTATTGATGCTGTCGAATCAACGGAAACTCCATAGATCACTGAACGAAACGTCGTAAAAGCCCGCATTCATACATGCATTCACGCCATACGGAAATTATAACCGGAGTATTGTAATTCTTTAGGGGATCTCATTATAAACCCGTAATTTCCAAGAGCTAACTTTCACAATGAAATTCAGCGGAAGCTAAAGGCTGTTGGTTCTACTTTTATAAGATGTTTGAGGTAATCGGTAAAATGAATGTCGGGTCATGTGTGAAGCGCCTGCGCTCACACTTGCAATAGTAGGATAGACAGCTAAGAATGTTTGAAAATTTACCGTTTTTCGCATCTTTCTTCATGTTTGAATATTAATTTGGTCTATTGCATTTATTGGGTGATTTTGAATCGACTAGTATAGCAAAGGTTATCTCGAATACTCTGAAAGTAGCTAAATTAGTTACTGTTTCGGCTTGCCATTGCTCTATAATTCTATAGAGCTGGCAAATTAAAATTCAGTTGAATATATAATTTTAATTTGCTTTTGTTCACAAATTGAACAAGTTGTTAATCATTGGATTCTTTAATTTTAAGAGTGTACTTATATCTTTTGTCTGTTTTTAAATTTTGGAAAACATCTTGTTTGTTGCACAAATAGATTAACACAAAGTAAAACTCATTGGTGTGCAATAGTTTGAATACACTTATTTCTGTAAAAATAGTTTTGACACTTTTTCTAGTTTATTTATCAAAATATTGTTTGTGAAAGGAACTGAATATTAACAATCGCATGTCATAAAGTCTCAAAATCCTTCTTTTTTGCTGCCAAACCTCTTTCAAAGTGTTAATACGCTTTAATAAGTTTTACAATGTCTATTATACTAGTTTACAAAATCTGCTCTAATTATGATAAAATCAACCTTTTACTGAATTATTTTACAGGCTGACTTACTGAATCTGTGATATATAATACATATGATTACGTTTTGCTTTCCCACACCTTAAGCTTGATTTTGAAACTTCTTATTTACACTTTAACAGAAACCCTATTCGATACATTTGTACTTATTAACTCTTCAGATAACATTTTACCATTGCAGTCAATGTGGACAAACAGAACATTAACATATAAAACGTTTTAAAATCACTTTTGCTTAACACTGTACCAAATACTATACATATTTATATTTTAATAAAACTATTAATACATCGAAGTTGCATAGTCTTGGCACAAAAGTAATTTGGCACGAATAGCGTAAAGTAGGAAAATGATTGAGCTATAACATCCAGTCACTCACACGAAATTAAATGAAGCTGGTGACACTTCAATCCTTCACTACACAAGACGATATCAACATTTATAAATTGAGTCCTTCCGTACGCTAACTAGGTTATTATTTTAGAGCACTATCAAACAAATTCACGTTAACACTCAATTTTTGTGCTTTAAGACTTGTTCTATGCTATTCCATGACTTGTTGGAAAGGTAATGGTGGAAATCATTTGAAATTGATCACAACCAAGTATCTGCCATGTAATCCAGTAAACGATGCTTATAAATAATTCAAATGATTCGTCTGAGTGATGCTTTTAAAAAGTACTATTATCGCAGCTTTAAAATTATTTCAGTGATAGACTTTAAGTAAACAATGATTTTACTATTTTAAATCACACATTTTGTTTTAGCACCACCTGAAAGTTTACAAACAGAACATTTTTATGTAATCATTATTTGAGTTACCTTATTTCACAAGAGATGTATGTAGGAATCAGTTTTATAACAATGTACAGTATAACTAATTTAGTTTTTTATCAATTCATATTTTTAAGTTTTATTAGCTTAGTTCGTCGATTCTTTAAATTACAATTCAACATTAGTTGCTTAATTTGATAGGGAAAATTTCATAAGCAACCTTGGGGTCTTATACAACTCAAAACCTTTTGACTACATACATGGCTACATTTAGTTTGCTGAAAACAATTTTGTACATTGCGGCCTTATAGAACCAATAAAAAATTTTAATACTGTAGCTTACACAGATTTCAATATAATTTGTGTATTGTTCGTAGTACAGTAATGGATGTAATTTTATGACGATGAAAATTTTACAAGATAAAGTTTACAAAGAACAGGGTTACTTGGGATGATAAATGATACGAGTAAAAAAATGTTACAAAAACTAAAAATTGCTCACAACTGCAATATACGGCAGTGTTAAATGTTTGAGCCTACTTACTTGTTTTAGAATGATTCGCCTTCAATGCTCGTAAGTTTGTGGGAAGGAGACCTCTTCTTGTGATATGACTTTGGCATTACAAGGTCAATAAAATACAAAATTGAGACGATGAGTCGGAAAAAATAATCTCAAGTGGATATGAAAATCAGCTGACTTGTTAGAAGTATTTTGAATTATGGGGTGATTTACTAGGTTTGGATTTGATATGGGTCGACTTACTTTAGAGTGATTTACTGTATTTTATAGGGGCGATGATATACAGGATAAGCGAAAACTGTTAAGAAAAAAAAATTTTTTAGGAAAATAAATCTTTCTCAACAGTTTGTCAAGTTAGCTAGCATTTTTAATTGGTTATTTGGTGAATACTACTCTTGTTCCAACACAAATGTCAAACATAATTCAAAGTTAAAATAACTGAAATGTAGGTCTGGTTATTTTTAAATACAACAAAATCTGTAAACTTTGATTGCAGAGAATATATTTTGAAAATATTTTTAAGTGAACTAAAAAAATGTTGTCATGCAGATAACATTTTTGTTGAATTGTTGAGTGGAAATATCATTGGTATTTGTAGTTGTTTTTATGGTAACTTTTTAGAAATGCAAACACATTTTTTGATATGTATGGATTATTTAGACTGTGACCTGTTTTACCTGATAACGTTAAAGATAAAACATATCACTCTTCAACCAACCCATCCACAGTATTATTGAAATAAAAAACTATATTTATTAGTTATACTAATTGCATTAAATCTTTTTGGTTTTACATTTTTATCTTTCAGTGTCTCATTTCAGGTGGGTATTTTGCACAATTGTGAAGCTGAATATTTTTGCACTATTTTCAATATTTTGCCCACTAGTTTGCTTAAATTATTGTGTCAATTTAAATTGTTATATGTAGTTAAAGATAAGATAAACTTTTTGAATTTTACAATTTTTTCTAAGTAGTGTCTATGATATTAAAACAACTTTTCTTCTATCATACAAAATCTAATTGGATATTTATACAATATTTTAAAATAATTTTTTTTTCTGTGATAGAATCAATGTATTAGTTAAAATGGTGGATATCTTTTATCAAATTACTTCTTATGATGTTTTAAGTACCTGTTGAAATAATTGTAAATTCTAACAGCAAATAAAAGTACAAAATTCTATAGAAAACACTAGTAATGGTTTGGCACACGCCTCACAGCCATAGGCCTTGACCAAGCTATTCAGAAGAACTCTCCACCCCAGTAGAGCACAACCTTAATACTGATTACCAACTAATTATCAACGTATAATAAAACAACTATTTATAGTATACTATTGCTCAAATGTATCTAAAGTTGTAATAAATGGAGGAGAGTTGTAAAAACACAGTCGACTCACTAAATGGAAAAAGGTGAATAAATGGAAAGTCCCAGCGGTGGAGACGGTGGACACTGCACAACCAACGCCCATAGTAGTTCTGCCGTAAAAATATTGAGTTTACATAACCGCGTCACTCGGAGGTTCGAGTCGTACACGCACGATAACAACGAAACGTTTTTATACACGACGCACGTAATTAAAAAAACTAGTATACAGTGGAGTTTTTGGTTTAAAACACGTGATTGCCTTCGTTCATCTAGTTTAGGGAGTACGGTAACGGGGTGTGGAAGAAATACGCGGGCGTTTCACCACCGAGTAACACAATAAATTTTCAACAGGGGTTATGAGCACCCTTTAGACACTAAAAATCTATAAAAATCCTATGTTTTAATATATTAAACCACTGGAAATTTAACTTTGTTATTTAAACAAACTAAACTAAACACGCCGCCTAGTTACAGTCTGTCGTCCTCTTCCTCCTCCTCCTCGACATCCTCTCGTGTTTCTTCTGACTCCTCCTTATATCCAGGGTGTTCAGAGATGGCGTAGTAGTTACCATTGTAGATGACGCCCAACTCTCGAAGAACGTCCCCTCGGATCGTCGCTTTGATCGTCCAGTTGTAGCAATCGTCGCTCTCACTCTCTCTGTCCAACCTCTCCACGTCGAGGATTTTGGAACTCAACCTTTCCAATATTATACCGATATCTTTAATCGTCAGGTGTCTCTTCTGATCTACCGACAGCTGGTCTATCAAAAGTAAAAACTTCTCGGTGGTGACAGCTTCGTCTTCTACGACAGTGTTTTCCGTTTCGGACTCGGAACTCTCGTGGTCGACGGGGGCATGTCGGTGACCGCCCTCGACATCTAAAAAACGAACATGACCTTTAGGCACTCCGGCAGCCCTGCGCGAGCCGTCTGACATAGACGACGGGTGCTGTTGGGGCGACGTTGACAGCGAGTCTTGAATCGGGGAGGTCGCCACCGACTTGTGCACCGCGATCTTGCGTCCCTCCTCATGCAGCGCGCAGCAATGGAAGTCGCACTCGCTGTTGTTGTTGTTAGGGGAGCCACTCCTAGAGACGGAGGGCTGGTGAGCGTGGTTGGCGCACTCCGGTGTGTGGACGTGGATCGTCGAGCTCTCGAACGACGACCCTTGCTTGGTGAGGCGCGGGTGGTGGTAGGAACTGGACGCGGAAATGTCGTCGTGGTTGATGACCGTGATCTGCGGACTGGCCGTATAGCGAGGCGGATACACATCATTGATCAGCGTCTCCTTCTTCCCGCTCGAGTCCACACTCGTCTGTATCACCAGACTAGATTGTTTCTTGGGTGTCGCTGTCCCGCTCGACGCTGCCGTTCCTGGCTCGCTCCTGCTACTGCCTTGCTGCCGCTGGTCCCAATGTAGGACGACCGTGACTCGACCTTTGTTGTCCATGATCTTCCAAGAGGGAGTTTCATTCTGCAGTTCAAGCGCATGTATTGTTTCACATACGATCTTCGGGATCGCTGAGATTGCTAAAACAGAAAAAAGGTGTGTCAGAAAAGTGCTTGAAAAGTAAGATAAGCTTAGAAAAGTAATACTGGTAAGTGTGATATTCTCAAGATTCTGTTGTACATGAGTGTGTTACAATCCTATTAAATCAAATCCAATAGGCTCTAGATAACAATTTTAGCACGAAGGGTCAATCAAAATCTATTAAGTACACTACCCAGACTGTTTTAAGCCTCAATACACCAAGAGGAATCAAATTTCAATTATTAAGCTGATCGCAGTGAATATCCAGACTCACACAAAAAGATCTTTCACCTGTACACACCATTCATTAGAACAGATAAATAATTTCTTATTTAGAACATAGTGCATGTTATATAACCAAAAGTAAATAAAAATATGTCTAGTAAAAAAATAGTGAAAAAAATATTTAGAATCATACTGTTTTAATTAGACGGTATACATGAAAGATGGTAGGATGTGGTGATTGGTGTTGATTGGCGCTAATTAAAATCGATCATTACTTATTTGTGTAAAGATTGTGTCACTTATAATGGCATGAAGGGATGAGGGAAACTTTCCCAACAAAATGGAGAGTCACGACACTAGATGCTAGTAATTAAATTAATCCGACAGCAATTAATTGCTGAGAAGTACAAAATAACAAAAGCGACGGTGGAGGGAGAAGGGTTCTTGTGTGCATGCGTATCCCTCTTGCAACTCTATTGACACAATTACACGTACCTGTACGTATGACGTCCACACCAGTCGGATACCAGCGCTCGCCTTGCCGCAACAGCAGAATCACAGTGTTGTTGGGGAGAGTGCGGAAATACTCCCCATCCTCAACCTGCGTCCCGTCCGACTCTAGCACTAGTCTCACTGGCTCATTGGGAGGAACGTTCAGCTTCTCTTTACCTGTCAAACATTCCATTGTTATAAGGAAGACTCATTATTTGGTTGGAATTGAAATTCTCTTAAAGTTAACCTTTGAACCAAAGATGATTAGTCACTTACGCTACCCCCAAAATTGGAGTTCCATAGATGCTCCTGTAGCTCTAATATGCTGTGGCGATTCAAAAGCGGCAACACCGCGGCCACGGCCTATGTGCCTGATCATTGGGCTTTAAATAAATGATCCGGACTGATGATGCAGCTAATCTTAGTCAGTAAGCTACACAGATCACCAAACACCATTCTACACTCATCCTTCACCCATTTGTTCAATACGCACCTAGGTGGCGTACCCATCTCAGTAATTGATGATGGATATGAAAATAGCGGTGGAGAAGATTTCACATTCACTATCACAGCATCAAAGTTCAAGGGAAATATCATTCTAGGCTGCAGCACTCCATAGTTAATTTAACTATGAGCTTTTTTTCTAATTTGGTTATTTAGCTGGTCCACAATATAGAAGTAATACCTACTTTAATATCCAAAAGTCAATGATTGTGGCTTTAATTATTTTTATCCTCTTTGTTGCTTAAGTGGTGTTTCTTATTTGTCAGCTGTTCTAGTACAACCTTATTCTTATTTGTTAGCTGTTCCAGTACAACCTTCTTATTTTCAGCTGTTCCAGTACAACCTTCTTATTTTCAGCTGTTCTAGTACAACCATAACTTGAAGAAAAATTGGAAACAGTTAATGTTTGTGATAGGTTTATTTTCTCAGTTAATAAAAAATACATAAAAAACAGGATCTTTTAAATTGAGACGGAAATATTTTTGGAAAATTTTAAATTATTATAACACACTTTACTGCCTATACATTTTTTACTGTATATTAAAATTTTGTTCACTAGGGATGTGTCCTCATTTGATTGAGCGGAGCGAGCGAAGCGAGCGAAGCTCTTTGGGATCAACTTCAATGCAAACAATATAACACCATCACTCAATAACGGCTGAACACATTTCAGCCAAACTTAACAAGACTACTTAGACTAATAATGAGATGGTTTGTAAACAAACAAATTTCAATTAGATAATGCTAATGCAATTTAAAACGAACTTAAAATTTAAAATTTTTAACATTGGGCTTATGGGACTAAAGTAGCTATGACAGTTTTTTTGTTTACAAGAAAAATGTAAACAAGAGAATCATAAGGTATTTCTGAACTTTCTATACTTTTCTTTTAAACGATTTTAAACCATTCCTATGATTTTAATAAACAAGAAAATGCCGTTAAAACATTTTTTTAAGGCACGGAATTCACTGAAAATCGAGAAAATATACTGAACTACTTTCTCAATGCGCGGAGCATAAACAAGGAGCGGAGGGATACGGACCGGTGACTACTTTCTTGGGAACCTATTTGTGTTGCCAGCTGATTAGAAACAGCCAATGTTAGAAATCAGGATTTAATAAGCGATATATCGAACCGCATCGAAATCGGTATCTAATCCGATAATACCTCATAGGTTATATTATGTTTAATTACATCGACGGTACAGTAAGTTATTACACTTATTGATAAAACGCAGATTGAACACTGATTTAGGCAGGTGGGGAGGTAGGTCGGGGTTTATGAGTATTCGTGACTACATTAAGTGTTTTGAGGTAAGGTTAGATTAGGAAGGTATAGTGTAGGTTATAGGTAGGCGATCGGGTTGTTTATTTGTGTTGCACCATATAATTTTTTAACTTTTGGAATGGAATAGTTGGTTAAGGTTAAACGGGGAAACGATTTCAAAAATGCTTGCATATGGTCTTAACTTAACAAACCATCTACAGTATTCTAGCTTTGACTTTATATAAAGTCAATGATTCTAGCAAATTATTACATACTGACAAAAAGAAAAGAGAACATTTGGATTTGTACCTTTGACCATAGCAAAACTAACATATAATTATGGAATGTGAAAAGTTGTATATCATTATATACTATTCTGTAATATTAATAATTGTTCGGCAAATCCTCATTTTAATGGCTCGGCTGAAAATGGAATCTGCATTTTGTGAAACAGTAATTTGGTAACAATTCAGTTATTTCAAATGTTGATAACAGTAGCCCATCCTATACAAATACTGTTATTTGATTGCCAAGCCACGGACTATACATACGTCCAGTTACAACCGTTGATAAGTAAACCTGGGCTTATAGAAGTACACTTTTAACCACGGTATGGATAATTGTCTAGGCCTGTCCAGAAGTAGGCTACTAATTTCTAATTATATTATCTACATTGTATATTTAAGGCATGTCTTCCCTACTTATTATATTATTCTGTTTTCACTTAAATCAGCTGAATGCGATTTTACTTATAACTTATGTTTAATTAAATTCCATTTTAATTAAACATAAGTTTAGTCTACTAGGCCTACATTCCAGCCATTTTATGTTGCACGGTTGAATTTAAATGTCAAATTTCCCCTCCTGTTGTTATACTTTAATACTCGTTTTTTTATAGTTACTGTTTTTTTTATACTTAAATACTTTAACCGATTGTAAGGGTGAAAAATGTAGCCGTTGCATTTGAATGTTAAATTACCTTTCTCATTTTTATACTTTACTTTTTGGATGTTAATATCAGATTCCAACTACTGTAATATTTTCCTGGTCAAAACTACCATAATGCACTTCTCGAAGAGGTAAATTTGAGTTATTATAATTTTAATCTTTAAAACCAGCATTAGTAAATAAATCTATTGACCTTTTTACATTTAGTTACTTATACAAATATCAAATCACGTGTGTTCCGCTCAACTGGCTTTCACCTCTCTGAAAGCAACCCTAGTATAAGTTCATTCTCTGTTTTAACTTATGTTAACTTTTAAAACTGTTGGTCCAGTATGAATTAATTTTATTTTGACATCTGCCATCCATAAATATTAGCTGTTATCAATCTCGATTACATCAGCTGTTTGCATTGTTGCATTGAGAATCTGTTTGCATTGTCACATGAAGAATGTCCAGGCTTAGCTACACCTCTCATAATGATTTATGCCCCAATTAGTAAATATAAAGTAGAGATAATGAAGGAAAGTTACCTCGAAATTCAAGATCTTTAAGACTGTTGACTACCAAACTTTTCCTTATGTTTCTCCAACTGTCCCATATCTTGAAGGGCCTCTTTCCTCTAGGATCCTGAAATAAGAAAAATGTACATTTAGCAAAATCGTTAACCATGGGCTTACTTGCTATATATACACTATTATGAATTTGAACGAATCATGTTTTTGGCCTCTGGGGACATAAAGAAAATCGGTCCCCAGTCCAGTTCTAACCGTGAGACCTACAGTCTAGCTTACTCCCTATATATAGAAAATTCTTTAAACCAGCTAGAGCTAGATTAAAGGTAAAAAGTAAAAAATATGGGTTTTAGCATCTATTTTATAAATAAAACTGTTTTAAATGTGAAACTTAAAGATGATTAACACACAATGATACTGTAGGCCCACAGTTTTTTGTTGCACTGTTTGCTTGAATTCGTTAAATTAACATACAAACCAAGCAATGTATATGTTACCTTACTTCCAATATTTACAAAACGGGGCCTGAATGGCATCCTGATGTACATGAACTTCAACATAATATGAGCCTAACATTAGAAAAATATAAACAACTAACCTATAACTTTGAACATGTAATTGTTTGGATTAGTTTTTAGAATGTTCGCAAATGCGATTACCTATTTTATACATAAACTGTTCGTCTTTAAGAGCTCTAATAATTGATGGGGGTTTTTTATATCCGAGCACTGGAAGCCCCCTGGATGTTTCAGTCCCCAATTCCGACCAATTTCATCACATCATAACACCAACCCCACAACCTCAAAACCTGGGCCATTCTAGTAGGCTAAGATAAGTTAGCTTGACCTAATCCATTCTATCGACATGTTTTTTTTAACAACCCAAATTACAAGTACCTATCAAGAATTATTGTTTAAGTCAAACGAAGCTGAGTTGGCAGCCCTGTATCCTTTACTTCATTGCCGATCAGCTGATGCATTGTTGCTTTATTTAATGCACGGTTCAGTGCCACAGGGAGTTTCTTGTAAGACTTGACATGGTGTTTCCACAAGCTCAAAGAGTATGCATATACATTGTAAGCCTACGTTTTAGGACGAGAATTTTTAACTTGGTCAAATATCAGTTTTACCAATGTAGGATAAATAATTGCAATACATGTTTTTGCATCAGTTATTTTTTAATGTAGTGGTCAGGTACGATTTTTTGAACATCTACTCTTGCAAAGATTCAAAAACATAAGATGAAATGTGTAATAATGTTTCATTGAGATAAATATTGTTTCATTCTTGTAACCCCTTATCTGTCAAACGAAAACATAAAAAATGTAATTAACAATACGACTTTTATGCACATTGTGTGCCAAAACAGTACACAATTTAAAAAAAAATAAATCGACTACTTAGTGATATAAAAATGTGTCCACATCACACATTATAGGATGTTCAATAAATAATAAGTAACACATTTTCAATCCTGTTCATACCATACCTGAAGAACGCAAATCGAAGAGGGAAAGAGAGACGCTTGCAAATGAACCAGCACCGCTAGCATACCGCTTTATACTGACACTGACTACTGAGTTTGTATATCTGCCGTGCTACCCTTCAAAAGGGCAAAATATCCCACGTACTGTCGTGAAAATCCCTCTTTATCCCACACCGTGCCTTTTGAAATCCCAATTCATCCCAAACCTTCCAAAAAACCACCTTTATGTCATAACTATTTTTCTACTTTACACAAGCTGCTAAAACTGGATTTTTCAACATTTTATTTCATATCCCAAACTTATCTCGCTGCCACCAAAAAATCCCAAATTGGGCTAAAATTCCCACAATATCTGTGGTCCCACGCTGTGAACTTTGACCTCCCACCTACATCCCCTCCCCCTCTTTTGCCCACTCTCTCCCCCACTCAAACACGGATATTCGAATAGTCGTGATTTATAGAGGTCATATAAGTGTAGGTAGCCGTCAAAGCATTTTAATTGGCTGGACCAGTGGGCTTAAATGTGATTTTTGAATGGCCTTTAACTTGTCATAAAGGTTAAGAGTATCGCTCGAACGGTTCAAATCGTGAATACTTGAAGGTTTCTGAAATTCTGAGGATGCGCTGGGTATATGGGTAAAGTGCTCCTCGTGAAGCAAGACGTTTAAACTGTTATTTGCTGTCTTTGGTCATTGGGCTTTCAATCAAATTATTTAAATGATATTTATAGAGATTAGGTCATTAAAATTTAAATCTACTCGTGTAAACTTAATTCCTCGAACAAATTTATATTTCATGATGGGTTAGCCTCTGGATCGAAAATTGCAATATAAAATGGTTTAGGTTACCTTTTGCGTCGAACGATCCTTGTGTAGTAATTGATAACTACAGCTGTTTCATGCCGCTGGGGCACATCTTCAGGTTGTAGAGCGTCAAGATAAAATAGCTGTCATCCGTGGATGATTTTGTCGAAATAAATATTACACAGAAAACACAAATAATGAAACATTTAAATACACGAATTTAACAAACTTGGCCAAGTGACCAACTGACAAACACGCAAGACAAGCGCCGGTGAATGTTGCGTCATGACTGCGGGCGTGTGTCCAAGCATCAGCTGTTACCCCCTCCCCCCTACTCCTTTATCAGGACCTGTTTTGTTTTGGTCTAGTTGAATGGCAGTATTGTAAATAATGTTTGATCTGAATGAAGTTTGTTCATTTAATAGATGGTCAGGGTGTTCTTTGGATGCCTTGTAAATTTCGAATTCCTCTATTGTGTCCATATATCTGCCTTTATTGCATAAATGCATAATTTCCAAATTATTATGTATATCTGTGTAGTTGTGGTTTGAGTTAATAATGTGGTTGGCAAATGCTGATTTGGAGTTCTTTTTGGGTAGATGTTCTTTAAATCTAGTAGCGAACGAGCGAGCAGTTTGGCCGATGTAGAAGCTCGGGCAATCGTTGCATTTGAGTAAGGATAAACACCCACAAATACCTGATAAAGGAGTAGGGGGGAGGGGGTAACAGCTGATGCTTGGACACACGCCCGCAGTCATGACGCAACATTCACCGGCGCCTGTCTTGCGTGTTTGTCAGTTTGTCACTTGGCCAAGTTTGTTAAATTCGTGTATTTAAATGTTTCATTATTTGTGTTTTCTGTGTAATATTTATTTCGACAAAATCATCCACGGATGACAGCTATTTTATCTTGACGCTCTACAACCTGAAGATGTGCCCCAGCGGCATGAAACAGCTGTAGTTATCAATTACTACACAAGGATCGTTCGACGCAAAAGGTAACCTAAACCATTTTAAATTTATATTGCTGTTACAGTTAAGATTCGAATATAATTTATTTATATTTACGTGTATCCACGAATACTAGAACAGACACGAGACTATTAACCTATGATGTTACTGGCCCACAAGTAGGCCTAATCATTATTTAATATTGTTTTTGGAACTGTCTAAACCATGTTTAATGCGAACGAACACCACAACAAGGCCACGGTGGTGTGTGGCAACGTCGCACCGGCCTATTGCCATGGTAATGGAAGTAATAAAAAACGTGTAAACGTCAACATGCGCATGCTCCACTAGAGCAACAGCTGTTTGTTCAAGCCGGGGCGGCGGTGTTGCCACTTTTGTCTCACCATGTAAACGTCAACATTGCGCACGCTCCACTAGAGCAACAGCTGTTTGTTCAGGCCGGGGCGGCGGCGTTGCCACTTTTGTCTCACCGCGGCCTTGTATTAGAGAAGGCCATGGTCACGTCCTTGTCTTGAATAATAATTCATTGTTTATTTAATTTATTTATTGGTAACAACCGTTTACAATAATGTCTTAAACGATTTAAGTACCTGGGGACCGAGCTTTGCTCGGGGAAAATCATTAGTTTACTCTGAGGTCAGTCTTAGTACTGCAGATACATTAATCCATTCCCACACACCACACTGCTCGCCTTTACAACTTCCTTCATCATTTCCTACGCCGTGGACCTGTTTCTTTCCCTTCTCATAGCATTTTATGATTGCAGAGACACATTAATATAACTGCCACAGACGGTTCCCACAATCCGCACTGCTAGCCTATACTACTTCCTTCATAATTTCCTACGCCTTGGACCTGTTTCCTTCCTCCAGAGACTGCTCTCAGAGAAAACTAGCGATTTCCCACGAGCATTTAAGTATTGCAGATACATTAATCTATCTGCCATATACGGTTCCCACACTCTGCAATCCTAGCCTTTACTACTTCCTACACCACTTCCTACGTTTTGGACCTCTTCCTCTCCCCTCCCATGGTACAGATACATTAATCTAACTGCCACAGACGCTTCCCACACTCTGCACTGCTAGCCTTTACTACAATGTATACAGTAATCTTCAGTGTAATCTTTGCTTAATAGATACAACTGATGTTTTCCCTTTGTAATGTATTTTGTAATTTACTATTTTACTGTGGATGGCTTATTATACTACACATGTTACATGTCTTTTGTTTACCTTTTCCTTGTTATTTTGTTCAACCAACATAGCAACCCGTAAGGCCAATGTTAAAAAATTTAGACTTTAGTTCTCATTTTTCTACGTAATTAGATTTTTGTTGGCAGTTCTAACTGCAGTAAACACGTTTTTAGGCCAGAAATAAACTATTTACAACATTTGAAGAAAATCGTCTTAGCCGTTTTCGAGATCTTTGTGCAAGCAAGAATACAAGCAAACATTGCTCATATTAGTATAATAGGAATAGGATATGCTTAATTAACAAAACAAAATTGTGAAAACATGCACGAAAAATGTTGAAAATTTCATGCAACGATTATCACATAACATTCTAGTTGGTCCTTAAATGATAAAATGAAGGAGTACCGATTTAACTGGACCCAACCATTCTAGAGATTAATTTTCAGAGTGTTGTCCAAAAGAAAAAAAATAGACTTATGGCTTTACATTAGGCGTTGTAAAGTATGTATCTTCGATTCGTTGACAATACAATTCAGGTTAAAAGGTAAGAAAAATTAATTTCTGCGCTTTTCTCTTATTTAGGTATATGTTTACTATTTGTTCTTGAAACGTTCTAAAGTTATGTTTAGTGAAACCATTCATTTAGCTACCACTTCATTAAAACAATCCCCCCGATGCAGCAAACCTGCAGACTAAGCGAATAGCCGTTAGCCTGATTGAATTTTCACTATAATATTCCCTTAAAAATATCAATAGCTTATTATAATACCAAGCTATTGATATTTTAATATAAAATAAACTAATATTCCAAGTTTGATCAAAATAAATCAATAAACAAGCAAACTACAACAATTTACTTATTCCATAAAAATAGTATGTGAATTGTAAATTTTACAATTTACAAACTTATATTTACAAATTGAGGTTGTGTTTACTAAAAAAGATGGCGATCCACTGTCGCGATTCAAATAAAACCGAAGGGGGTTTCAAAAGGAGATGTAACAATTTATTCAGGTAATATTAACATCCCATTGTAAAATTTGAAGGTCTTTTTCGTGTCTAATTCATGTTGGTGACACTAATCGCTAGTGACAACGAAATTTTGTTTATATTATTTCAGCGGTAATTTCATGATTTGTGCTTTACTCTTTAGCTATATAACTAGTTATTAACGAGGTTTTAAATGACTGAAATAACAAGAAACGAATTGTAAACAAAACACGACCTCTACTGTACACCGAACGGAACTAACAATAAAATTGTCGTCGGCTGATCCATAAGGATGAGAAATATACTAAGGAAGCATGTATTATCCATGGTAAACACTCTACTTAACTGAGTGGGATGAATTATCGTAAACCTTGAATTTAACCGTCAATTTCGATGGGTTTCGCCTATTTTTGATTAAAAAACTAACTATACCTAATCGCAAATTTTTCGGATATATGTTTTTAACCAAAGACAAATAAAAAAATAATGTTAAATGAAGGTCCATGACTCATTTTAAATTTGTCATATTTTATTTAGTGCTTAATAAAATTAAAGCCAAACATTTAATAAGTAATTTGAGACCAGAAGAACTTTGTGATGTATTACCAACCCGAGATATAAATCTTTTAATAAGAACTGATTTCTTAAACGTTAAATTTATTATTGTGATAGGGTTAGAAGCTCGTCTCCGATTTAAATTTAATTTTCACTTACAGGTTATATTCCTAGACTGCGATTTAAGGAACGTTACCGATGTAGACTGCAATTTAAGGAACGGTACATTTCTAGACTGCAATTTAAGGAACGTGACATATCTAGACTGCAATTTAAGGAACGTTACATTTCTAGACTGCAATTATTGGAACGTTACATTTCTAGACAGCAATTTAAGGGACGTTACATATCTAGACTGCAATTTAAGGAACGTTACATTTCTAGACTGTAATTTAAGGAACGTTACATTTCTAGACTGCAATTTAAGGGACATTATGTACATAACTAGACTGCAATTTAAGGAACGTTACATTTCTAGACTGCAATTATTGGAACGTTACATTTCTAGACAGCAATTTAAGGGACGTTACATATCTAGACTGCAATTTAAGGAACATTACATTTCTAGACTGCAATTTAAGGAACGTTACATTTATAGACTGCAATTTAAGGAACGTTACATATCTAGACTGCAATTTAAGGAACGTTACATATCTAGACTGTAATTTAAGGAACGTTACATATCTAGACTGTAATTTAAGGACCGCTACATATCTAAACTGCGATTTAAGGAACGTTATATATATATAGACTGCAATTTAAGGAACTTTAGATATCTAGACTGCAGTTTAAGGAACGTTACATATCTAGACTGCACTTTAAGGAACGTTACAGATCTAGACTGCAATTTAAGGAACGTCACATAATTAGACTGCAATTTAACGAACGTTACATATTATCTAGACTGCACTTTAAGGAACGTTACAGATATAGACTGGAATTTAAGGAACGTTACGGATCTAGACAGCAATTCAAAAACGTTAAGGTGACACAGTACTCCCTATCCCGCCCATGTTAAAATGACAGTTTTTAGGTACACATAACTTTTACAAATATTAACCTATCAACTTGAGATTTTTGTACTAAGTTTAATACATTATTACCAACAATAGTATGAAGCAAAAAAAGTGTTTGAGCAAAATTAAATTATAAGTATGATTTTAAAAATTTTATAAAATATTTTGTAATTTTTTAACATAAAATATTTTTTTATTTCAAAGGTTTTTGGTTGTCATGGAAACTGATTCTTATTATTGTTCCTTTACCATATGAGGAACACACACACCAATTTTTATTGAAATTGGATTATAATTGAGGAAGAAAAGTGTACCTGACTAAAAACCACTTCACTTTCAAAACGACAAAAGTACCCCCTGTCACGGGTAGTAGTAGGACCCTTGGGCATGCTAAAGTAAGAGTGTATAAAAGTCGCTGTATAGCTTAAAATAATTTTTTCTTCCATAATATTTGGTATGTACGTGTTTAGGAAAGTGTGTTCTACAAAACTAAATAATAACAAATGTTAAAAAAAAATTTAATATTTGACGGCGTACCCTCTGCGTCTTGATTAGTAGTAGGACCTTGGACATGCTAAATTAGGCTGCAATAGTTTATAAAAGTAGCTAAAAATTTTAAAAATAATTTTTTTCTTCCTTAATTTTTATTATCTACGTGTTAAGAAAAGTCTGTTCTACAAAACTAAATAATGGAAAATTTTTTTTTTATTTGAGTACTGTGTTACCTTAATAATCTAGACTACACTTTAAGAAATATTATTGATCTTAACTGCAATTTAAGGAACGTTACGGATCTAGACTGGAATTTAAGGAACGTTACAGATCTATTAATTTCTATTAGCCAATTAATGGGCGTGCCAGTAGTTTGAAGCCATTATTTAAGGACCTTTACAAAGCTGTCATTTAAGGACCAACTAAATGTGTACAGCTAGCATTGCGAGTGTATACGGATATCATTTAAGAATTAATGATAGCTTCGGAGGTACCGTACACAACTAATCGTGTAATTTAAATATGTCTTCAGGGCTACAACGACTTTAAATTCAGTACCTAATGTATCTTAGAGACGAAAGTAGTAATATTTTTTTTAATTTTAAGGATCCTTGCAGTCTGCAAGTTGCAGAGATACGCAACAGCCGTTTAAGCATGAACTAAAGGTACACAGATAGGCCTGACATTTCAGATAACTTTTCTTAACCTCTTTTAAGCATCTTTGCAGATATCAACTACTGTGATATCATTTCAGGATCAAATCGCATAGAGATTTAAAAAAGAAAAACATATTTTGAGTTAAGTGAATATAGTGATATTATCGGTCTTAAATTGCGTTCTGTGCGATCTTGTTGTTTTATGTAATTGAATATCTAAAACAAAATCAGGATGTTTCAAAACACGAGTTAAGGACAAATAATTTTAGTTAGCAAATGATTTAGGTTATACATATTTAAAAAAATACATATCTACGGACATATCTATTTTGAAATATTTAATTTTCCCATAAAAGCTATAGGCCTACAACATTAGGCCTATGTTTGGAGCGGAAATAAGAAAAACGTTTATTACGAAAGACAGCGTTTAGGGGGTTTGAATTGAAATGAGTTTCCATAAAACACGTACATACACGCTTTAAGGATTTGAAAAAGGAAGTTGATCCCTCCCTAAAAATTTCGGCTGGGTCAGTGCAACCATCTATCACATTTTATACAGGAAAACCTTACAAAAACTGTCAACTTGGATTGTTATAAAAATAGTAGTGTTTTCAATACGGTAATGATACGTCTTCAATACCCAACTGAAGTTCATTGCAACTTGGAAGTTTCGATCCAAAATTAAAACTGTCCAAGAAAACATTACAACCACAATAAAACCGATCGAACAGATTTTTATCAAGGCCGGAAGAAAAACTCGCCAAGTGCATACAAGGAAAGTATGAATCCTGTATTATATCCGAAAACTTACACAATAAAAACTCATTTAAAAATTTCCGCTTTCCAACAATCAAATGTTTTTGAGTTTAATTTTCAATGTACTCCTAGCAAACCTAAACATTTCGTAAAATTCAATACGTAAAAAATTCTCGCATTCAAATATAACACCGCAACCTATCGACATTTCCTTAGCGAAGTAAAAACGAATTACCAATACTAACGAACACTGTCTGGAAAAACCGAAGAAGTAAAATAGACGAATATGAAAGCAGTCTGAGCTGTGAGGTTACAAATATGGCGGCGCTGCGACTCCCTTTTGGCAGGAAATTATCTTCCTTTCGCTTTTGACTGGAAAGATTTTCCGGTCGAAACAAAACCGCTGGGAAGCCAATGGGGCGAAGCCCAAGTACCCTAGAACACCTGGTCCACACAGAGTCTCATTCAATATTTATCTGGCTGTGGTAAATATTTGACCTGTTTTGTACGGAAGTAGGTCAGCCTAATGGCACAGCGGGCTCGTCCATTCGCTTATTTTTATGGCACATTCTTGAATAGATCCACTCCTATATCGATATTTATTTGTAGTATCGTATCGACGTGTTAAATTGTAGTGAAATTAAAATTGCTTACGTTTCCATGTGTGTACGTTTATGCAGTAATTTACAGTGTTAAATAAATTGAAAATTAAAGGAGTGTAAATTTGGTATGATTTAAAAAAAAGTAGCTAATTCAAATTATAAATAAAAAATATAATAATTTAAATATTTTTTTAAATCGATTACCATTCTAATGGTTTAAACACGTTATACGTTTACGGGGTGTTAAGCCCTTTAAACCCCGTATTGTGGTGAAATACATTATAAATTGTATACACGTTTTTGTAAGGAACCCCGTAAATAAGGGTATCAGACCAGGAGGATGTGGGGTGCAGGATACACAACACTGCGGTTCCACAGGTTCACGGGTTCACCTACCTCTCTTGCCATCACTCCATAATCTTGGGATCCATCCTAGACTGCGCTAGAGACACTGAATGAGGCAAAGCCCCGGACTGACACTCGCGACAGAAGACATATCCAGAACACTCATAGGTCCGCCCCACCTCGGGCCCCGGACTCCGCGGTGGTCCGCTTCCTCGTCGCCATCCTTGGTCACCTCCCCCGAGCCTCGACGTGACACCCCGGGCCTCGCCCCCGCGGTTATCCGTGAAAATCCAGAGATTTGCTCGGAGCTGGGTGTAGAACGGCTACGGCGCGCGCCACTGTCGTGGATCGATCGCCACAACCGCCCCTCCGCCCACACGCGCTAATACGGTGTATCGTATCGCATCGTATCGCATCGGGTCGCGAGGTCGGAGGTGTGGGGTATCGATTGCGAAGGGGTGGGTGAAAAGTGAAGACGTGCGGTTATTTGTAACACAACATATACTCACCTGTTGTTTTTAAAACACTAGCGTCCTAATTATTTTTTTGGAGTGGTGATTGTACATAAGTTTCCAGTTAATGAACATTACACAGTGTCAGTGTGGGAAGGTACATTGAGCAGAGCGAGCTAGTAGAGTGCGGGACTTCGGCCGCATAGGTCCAGGGCTCAAATCCCGAAAATCCCCAATGGATTGTATCTAAGTGACAATGTCTTGACCCTCTACGAAAACAGTTTCGAACTATAGCCTAGTGTCCTAGGATGTGTGGTGACAGAGAAAACCGTTAGTAATATTACTCTTAACTGAACAATGAAATGGATGACTGAGATACTTCGTGCTTTGTACGGTTTTTAGCGAATTTCCCTCTATAGGGAAGTAGCTATTACCGTAGGTCTCATGGTAAGACCTAAGCCCGGGACCGATTTACTTTTTCATTTTGATGTCCCCAGAGGCCAAAAACACCATTTGTTCAAATTTTTATATATCTATATATATATATATATATATATATATATATATATATATATACTAGCTGACCCGGCGAACTTCGTATCGCCTAAGTTATAGGTTTCCCCTAAGACATACCGATGGAAAGAAAGTACCGTTACGTTTAATTTTCAAGATGATCTCGTTCGCATCGCTCAATCACGTCCTGGTTGAAGTTCGTTCGCTACGCTCACTCACCTTTGGGTTGGAGCTCGTTCGCTACGCTCACTCACCTTTAGGTTGAAGCTCGTTCGCAACGCTCACTCACCTTTAGGTTGGAGCTCGTTCGCTGCGCTCACTTGCCTTCAGGTTAGCTCGTTCGCTACGCTAACTCGCCTCCAGGTTGAAGTTCGTTCGCTACGCTCACTCACCTTTGGGTTGGAGCTCGTTCGCTACGCTCACTCACCCTTAGTTTGGAGCTCGTTCGCTGCGCTCACTTGCCTTCAGGTTAGCTCGTTCGCTACGCTAACTCGCCTCCAGGTTGAAGTTCGTTCGCTACGCTCACTCACCTTTTGGTTGCAAATTAGCTGTTGTCATAAATGTAAAAGAAATAATAGTGCTGCACCCTGTTGGTAATCCTTGTAACTTTAATGCTATTGAACATCATAGAACAGAACCAACTTGTTTAATTGAAACAGCTGTTAAGATTCATTAATTCCATTTCTCATAAGGTTAACATGGGAAACTCCAGAGCCACTGGGGCGGAGCCCTTTTAAGAATTTCGAAACGGGAAATAGTTTACGTCCGATTCGCATACCTACAGAATTTACACACCAAATTTCATAACGATCGGTGAAGTCGTTCCGGAGGAGTTTGCAGACAAACACTGTGACACGAGAATTTTATATATTAGATAGATATATGTGTCCATCCGCACGATAACTTGAGTAATTTTTGTTCGATTTTGATAAAATTTGGTTTGAAGGTGTAAGGCGGGATAAACTTGAATGAGTTCGCGAACCAGCATGATCGGACTATGGGAACGGGGGTTTATGGGGGGTTTTATGGGGTAAAATTAGGGTTTTCCCATTTTTTACCCTAAAAACACGAAATTTCACAATTTCTTTTTAAACCATTTTGTAGAGCTTAAAAAAACAAATAACTTAGTATATTGAAGTGTTATTATGCGCCTATTTGTTACGGAGAAAATTCAAAAAAATTGTAATTTTGAAATTCCCATGTTATTCTTATGGAGAATAAGTCAACTGTTGTAGTTTACTTACTATGAACATATTTTGATCGATTTTGGAAAATACTTTTATTTCTTACTAAACTATTATCAATTTATTAAAAAAAATCTTTTCTATCCTCCCTGTTGCAGCAAACCTAAGTACTCGTTAAACTTATTCTATTTAAATAGGAAATAAATGTGCTATTTTTATGGAGGAATTTTAGTGTAAATCCAATCAGGTTAATGGAAATTCGCTTAGTCTGCAGGTTTGCTGCGGCGGGGGTATTTTGTATTACGTACTATACCCCGTTCCCAAAATGTAGGCGGTTTGATGGGGAGCGATTCATTCCCCTTCACCTTACCCTAACTTTAAAACAACGTCCGACAGATGATTAGGCTGAAAAATGTGATGATGGAGCCCAGGAAAATTTTCCCTTAAACTGGCTTAAGTTTGTGAATGGAATTTAGATCAGTTTAGGCACACGCGTACTATTAATTACGTATAATAAAGATGACAGTGAAGAATTCAATCCTACGCAGCCGTTGAGCTGGTACAAAGGTTTTGTATGGGATTTTGAAAGAGATCGCCGGTACAGATTTATTTATCACATGTGAATCCATTTTTTATTTTCTGCGTCAATGATTTCAGTCCACTGCTAGTTACAAGTCTTGCAGTTTGAAAACATCGTCCATTGATGAAATCATTAATCCAAAATACAAACAGATTCCGTGGCTATTTACATTGGCTGTTAAAAAATACAATTACAATCAAATACTTTAAAAACTTAACAAAAGAATTTAACAAGTTTTAGTTTTGAGTTCAAGAATATTCTTACATTATTGTAAACCCTACTAACTTTTTTAAATTTATACACCAACCTGTAATTTATTATTACTCATTAGGAAGAAAGATTAAATAACTAAAATTGTTCCATATTGATTTTAATTAAATTTCAAAACATTACTAGCCTCTTAAGCGCAATTCGTCAAAATTTGGACTATGATAGTTATCTTATCGATATCGAAACATCCTATCACGATAGCCCGATGCGATATATCGCATCACTACCACTCTCAAACACACACACACGCACACGCACACAGTCCTCCACTGGTGACTATATCGTGTTCGCCACTCCGTTTATACACTATTGTGGAGGCAGCGTAAGTTGATTCATGTCCTACCCGTAGTCAGTGCGGTCCTACTATGACAGACGCACCGTTTCGTCACGGTCAAGTTAAGGGATTTTGGGTAAATATTCTGTATAAAATCTATTTACCAAATCAGAGTCAAGTATAAAAAGTGTATTTGATTCTGGGAGAGTGTAAAATTCCGATTTCGAATCAATACTTGAGACTTTTTTGGGTGTTTTTGGAAAGAGTATTTTTTTGGAAGTAACTTGTTACAGTGAGAAATTAACTAGACGAGCGGTGGTTTACAAATAGGTCGTTAGATTTCGCCAAGTTAGAAGGAATAAAAAGTAAAGAAATATTTGGTCAAAACAAACATATACCGTACAGAATCAATGTTCAATTTTTTGTGTTCAGCATATTCCTGAGGATCTTAAGTATAGGGTTAAATGAGTGGTTTTAGTGTCTAACAAAGTTCATATTTAACTATTATTTGCTTTCGTGTCTCTTTATGCACTTGCTGGTAAAATAATCATTAACTATAGCAAGGTAAAATGAATAGTGAACAATATTTTTGGTTGAAAAACTAAAACCCTGATTTTCGAGGCACCAAATCTCACTGCTCATGATCATATAGTGCTGGTTTGCGGACTCAAATGGAAAGTGTGTTAAGCGTTTAATCAAAATATGATGATTTTACCAGAGTTTAAAATTGTAAATCGGGGAAGTCTAAAACCACAATTAGTGGTTACTCACTTCCGTTAAGGTAAACTACCTAAAACACAAATCAACAACTCTTACAAATTATACAAATTGTATTAAATAGTCTTCCCCGATATTTTGTCAAAGAAAACTATCGGTGCAAACATAATCTTTATGCTAATGTTGTAGGCATTATACATTAAATGTATGTCTGAAGCATCGAAAAATCAGAAAAAGAATTAAATTTTATGATGTCTTTATTTATAGCAACATTTATAACAATGGTTTTTATGTCTTTACGTAACACATTTTGAGTAGAGAAAAACAATAGATTTAACCAACACACATTCAAAATATGTAACCATTCAACAATTAAACGAGGAACAAACACAGTTTTCTGTATTGCAGTATTTACTGTATTGTAATACTAAATACAGTATTGTCTAGTCATGAGTGCTGGCTGTATTGCTGCATAGTTATTGCAGGCGGCACGGCCTGTATCTATATCACGTCAGAGGCTTTGCAGGCGTTGTGTTTGGTGGCTGGTATAGTTTTTACGGTTATGTATGAATTAAATTAAATTAAAGAATTTGTAACGATTTTTTACCGGTTTAGGGCGATGATTGGTCAATATTTTTACTATAGCGCTAAATAATAAACTATAATAACACTAATTCATTATAAAACAAGAATCTATATAATTAATACGCTACATGAAAGTTTGTCGGTTGAACTCCTCCGCCATTTCTTAACCGATTTTATCCGTTGACGTCTCATTGAAAAGAGCGTGAATAATTGAAAATTGCTGTTATTTATTATTCAATTCAATGAAACGCATTGAGTACATATTTGAGTTTGTGTAAACATAAACCCCAAGACGGATCGTGTTACTATGGTTGTATCTTAAATTTGTGTATTTATGGTTGTTTTGTGTTGCTATGACGGATCGTGTTAGTACGATTGTAACTTAAATTTGTGCATTTATCGTTGTTTTGTGTAGCTATAATTCGTTTATTTGTTTTTTTTCTTTTAAATGCCTCCGACGCGACGACAACGAAACATAGAAAGGAGGCGTAATCGTGATAACGACCGCAGCTACAAAACAGTGGCGCTTAATAGGCCTTAACTCATCACAGTCAGCACCTGACCCTGGACAATCTCAACTTTAAATTAATTGTAAATATGGCTGTTATAAGTTTTGAAATAACTCCTGTAATACTTTGCAATTGCTCGAATCCGAGCAACATGTACACTAGTGAATATTTAAAAGAGAAAATATGCAAGTCAAAATACATTTCATTGTAAAAAGACTGGAATTAATTACCCCCAACATAACATTTTTGATGGATTAATTAGTAAATAGTTTGTGTATATAATATTTTATGGTGCTTTTAAATAAAACATCTGGAATTATGTATCCATATTAATATACAACCGCATGTTATCAATATATATACGGGGTTGGGGTATAAGTATAAAATTCTTATTGCAGTAACTCGTGCTCTGCGTTTGTAATGGGGAGGAAGCGGTCTGACACATACTTTCTCCCATTAGCTTGTCAACACCCTTTACCATGGGTGTGGTGGGATTAACTATGATATTTTATAGGAAAAATCACAAAAGTTGCAATAACTTCTGAACGGTAATTGTTCCAGCAACGGAGGGTTGCACTATTTTGTTTGGAATTATAACGACCATAACACATTAACTTTAATCAAAACAGGCTTTTTTCCTAAAATCAGATTTTTTGTTATTTTATGGTTTTTTTAAATGGGAAAATAACATAAGTAGTTACAATAACTTTTAAACCGTAATTTGTACGGAAATGGGATTTGTACCGATTTGTTTGGAATTCAAAGGACTATAATACTAAACTTTTATCAAAATCGTTCGGGCCATTTTTGAGAAAATCTGATTTTTCCGTTATTATATTGTAAAATTACCATTAAAAATCTAAATTTCAAAATACTTTCACATTAATAATATTTAATAGTAGGATAGTGTGGGTCTAAATGTGTATTTTTGTGAAAATATGGTGTAATCTGGATTGTGATTTATAGAATTAGTTGTTTCAAATTTATACCACTTTTGTTGTACATTGATCAGCTAGTTTAAGCAAATATTTTAATTTGTAACTTTTGTATTATTTTTTAAGATCTTGACACTTCTAAAATCACGCCTTTAACAAATAAAATGTTGCCCAGTAGCCTATAAAGAACACAGAATGTTATAGGAATAATCAACAATCGTGGTACTTTGCTTATGGCCAATGTGTTGAATATATAGCACACTTTATAACTCTTTATTGAAAAGATTTTTATCCTATTTTGATTTCGTCACAAACACCACTTTTATGTTCTCCTCTATTGATTACATTATTGTGTTGATTCTTCTTATGAAGAATGGTTTCTGAGCGAATTTCTCAATAGAAAAGAAGCTATTACCGTAGGTGGCATGATAAGACCTAGACCCGGGACCAATTTCTTGATCATTTTGATGTCCCCAGAGGCTAAACACACTATTTGTACAAATATATATATGTATCTAAACAAGTCAGATAATTTTGGTTCGATTTTGATGAAACTTGACATGATTGTGTAAGGCTCATCATCAGAAGACACCATAGATTGAGTGTTCAAATCCTGTCTTAGGTCTGGTGGGAAGCTCATGATGAGGCCACCAGTTTGTAGATTTAAGTATTAAAGTAGTAGACACCTAGGTGGGAGAGGGCCAAATAAAATATACTGTGGTGGCACAGATGGAAGTTGATGGGATGGGTAAATTCCTTGAAAATGACACATCTTATCAGGCATTTGGTGCTTGACTTATTCTTACTGTGGGTGTGTCCAGTAAAAACATGATTTGAAAATATATTTGTTTACTTAATATAAGGGGTATAAAAAACATGATTTGATCAATCAATAATTCATACAAATAGTCATGGTTCGATCAATGAACAGTCCATACAAATACACAATTTGATCAATGAATAATCCATACAAATAGACATGATTTGATCAATGAATAATCCATACAAATAGGCATGATTTGATCAATGAATAATCCATACAAATAGTCATGATTTGATCAATGAATAATCCATACAAATAGGCATGATTTGATCAATGAATAATCCATACAAATAGGCATGATTTGATCAATGAATAATCCATACAAATAGGCATGATTTGATCAATGACTAATCCATACAAATAGGCATGGTTCGATCAATGAACAGTCCATAGAAATACACAATTTGATCAATGAATAATCCATACAAATAGGCATGATTTGATCAATGAATAGTCCATACAAATAGGCATGATTTGATCAATGAATAATCCATACAAATAGGCATGATTTGATCAATGACTAATCCATACAAATGGGCTTAATTGGATTGATGAAAAACCCATACAAATAGGCTTATTTTGTAAATTGAAATGATTTGATCAATGAATCATGGATTCAAAAAGTTTGACAATCCTGGCTCTCTCACAAAAGGTACAGACTTTCAATGAAGAAAATTGTTTCAGCTGTATTCAAATCTGCCCAAAAACCATAAAATACACAAACACATACCAATTTAAATGGTAAAATAAAAACAACATTTAAAAATTTATTAACATCAATTTATTTACAATATAATAAAATATACATTCTATATCACGATGGTATATTCTATACATAAATACAACACTTTGTGGTTCGGTCTCGCTCAAGAGTACCGAGATGTTATTGCATTTATTTATAAGGTTATTGTACTACTTACGATTAGGCAGTAACAATTTGTCAATATCTTACTCCTTACAGATTAAGGGCTTTCAGCTCATGATGTGAACGAACAACTGATGGTGTTAACGAACAACTCATGGCGTGAACGAACAACTAAGTACAAAGAAATACAACACAGAGTGACCTATATACCCTATGGATTAATTTTTAGTATAATTTTCATGTAAATAAGAACATCAATTTACTAAAGCAAGGCACAAATCTTACATAACACATTATGGCAAGTTTTAGATAGTTGTTAATACAAATTGTTTTAGGTTAGTTAAAATATTTAGCTTGACTGTGGATATTATTTTAATATAAACTAAAATAAGTTACAGTTTACAAACTGTTTGATTTAACCTTAAGCCATTTTGTTAGCTGTTATTATTTTATATTCACATATAGATATTAAATTTACACTCTTATTTTAAAATAAAATTGCCACACTCATTACAAAACCATGCCTAATATTACCTCCATACCCCAAAATTATCCATGTGTCAATTCAAAGACCTAATATGTCAAATTTAAATTTACTATTGGTTTTAAAACTCATTTTCAATTTAAGTGTCTATATGTTTGCTCTGTAATAAAATGTAGTTTTCGTCATACTGCAGCAAAAACAGTCGTTATAAATACATGCGTTGCGGATCTAAGTAGCAATTCTACTCCCTAGGAAGTAAAAAGCGTTTTTAGTCCCTAGGGAATAAAAATAAGATGTTCTCAAATTAGTTGTAAATTTTGATTCTAAGCAATTGCATGCATCGATTGTTTAATAGCTTATTGTTGCCTTATTGTAAATAGTTCGACATATCAATAGTATAACGTACAATAACACAATCATAATAGACAAAACAATTGAATCACTTACTAAATAGCTGCTTGTTTCCATTAGCAAATTAAATTGAAAACTAATTAGAAATCCTTTTGGGAGGTTATCCTTAAATGATAACTATTTTAGTTTTGACACTTAGTTTGTTTAAATAATGGTGCAATATGATGAAAAATATAGTTCAGCACACAGGCAAATGAGCTCAGATTGAAAAGAGTCATTTTAGTTTTTTAGTGAGGAAATATATAGTATTTAATTATTGTTTGAAATTAAATATATCCTATCTAGTATAGTAAGAAGTATTAGATTAAAAGTAGTAATAATGTAAATATTTATAGAAATATAGTAAAAATGTATTATTTTATCAAGCAGTTGAACAACCAAATTTGACAAGTATAATCATAAAATTGAATTATTGGGTTTAACTTTACTTATACTTTAGTGTAATTCAAACTTTTAATTCAGTATTAAATTTGACTGAAACAGTCTATGGCTTTTAATTTTTATAACACTTTTTGCAAAAGTAATGTTCACTCTACAACCTAAAATGGTATTCCACTTAACCTATACAATTTGGTAATATAAATCTACTATTTACAAAACTTTATATAATGCAACAGTTTTCAAGATTACAGTAAATTCATTATATACACAATTTTACAAATAACTCAATTTACATATAAATATAAATATAAACATGATAAATGTAAACATTTAAACTCTATAACACAATGATTAAGCAACAAAAACATCTTTCTGTCTGCCTTATATTAAATAATCAAAAGGAATCCTCACTACGGTAACATTAGAACTACAAAAGCCATTTCAAACGATTTTTACAGGTGTAGTTTTCAATTGTTAAGACACGGAAAATAAATAAAAGAAACGTCTTATAACACTTAAAACATATATTTACGCTTATACTGTTTCTCACAAGACGTGTACTTTCCGTAAATATACATAAAAGATGGTAAGTGGTGATCGATTTCGATTGGACACTCCAGTCATCCTCAGACCCAATAGGCGAATGACAAGAATCTTGAATGGCGTCCCTACATATATCCTATTGGCTACCAGATGGACTGTATTGGCCGGTGCTTCCGGTAGCCCATAGGATAACACAATGGCGTAGGGACGCCATTCAAGATGATTGGAGTGTCCAATCAAAATCAATCACCACTTACCATCTTTTGTATATTTACCGTCTTGTGAGTAACAGTATAAACGTAAATATATGTTTCAAGTGTTATAAGACGTTCCTTTTATTTACTTTCTGTAAATTTAACAACACGTACAATGCTGATCAAGAAGTTATTTAATTGTAAAGTCAACAGAGCTTAAAAAAAAATATGTGACTTGTTTGTTTGATCGAACACACACAAACAGAAATCATCCTAACACAAAGCGCTTGAATTTCACAAAACTTTGATTTTAAAAATAGTCAAAACGGGTGCAGGGATTAAAAAGCTTGGTCATGCTTTGTCAGTAATTGAGAAAACGATTCGTCCAAGAGATGGTTTAAAGCCTGACATTCTAATCAGTCCAACAGATAAAACTAAATCATATTACACGCCTGTCACACAGGGTTATATACAAATTCTCTATATAGAATATACAACTATTTAAAACTGCAATCGACGAGGACTAGTGCGGTGACTTCTCTAGTCTGAAACAAAAGTAATTGTTTGAAAAAATAATAGAATAATAACATCGGACCTAGGAGTCTGCAACATTTCCAAAAGCTTGTGACAAGATAGGACAAAAGTTAGGCCAGGAAAATAATTTAGAAATAATTTTTAAAATTATAATCAGAGAAGTTTTAACACCCCAATTTATCGACACACCAGAATCAATTGTGTGCGACATAAGATGTGGCCTCTGCGACAACAATACTGGATGTTAAAAGTCTTTGTTTTTTTTTTTTTTATAGATCTTGTATAATGACTGTTTTATGTTGATATTTATGACAAAGCTATAATGGATGCCTGAAGATGCCAGGGTATTGACAAAACACATTGCAACTTGGCAGCAAATGGGAACAACAGAAGTTAAAGAAAAATTAATATTTAGTAATATTTCTAATTTTGTTGCTTACTGTACTTATCAAGAAGTAATTTTTGGGCGTTGATTAATATTAGGGGTTTCATTCTTCGATATTGTTTACTGTAAAATGCCAAATGTACTGCATCTGAATCCACTAATTGCTGATGAAGCGATTATGACATTCTTCAATGCCTGATGACTGTTTGATGAGTTTAAACTAGTTGCGATCCAATAAATTTATGTTAGAAAGTAGCAAAACCAGATTTTGGACTGTTCCCTTACAAAAAACGCAAAAAATGTCACATTGTAGATATACACAATTTAAAAAAGCAATATTCGATCCACACAAACCCAGGTGTTTTGATCAATTTTGATAAAATGGAATTTAAATCAATGAATACAAACCTTATAAGAAACGAAATGCCCGTGTTAAAAATTCAGCCTGACATTTTTTAATTTTGGCAAGTTCCCGCGGCACTGCTCGGTAAGATAGCCGCTGCTATTGGGACCCCACAGCAGTGTGAGTGAGATAGAGAGAGAAGGAGGGAGAGGGAGAGAGAGAGGCTAACGCTTACCTAGTGGCGGCTGCGCAAAACTCATTTTGGCGGCAAAATCCAGTCTGTCTATTCCACATAGGCATTTTGATTTTTCAGGTTTGTATTCATTAAAAAAATTTCTAGTTTGTCTTTAAATGGACTCACCTAGCGAGCTCATATACCGAGCTGCGTGGAGGTGGAGGGAGGATTGGTGGCCAGGAGAGGGAAGCTACCCTCCAGCCAGAAGATGAGGTTGTGTTCGGCCATCTGTGACGACTGGAAGTGGTCCTTCAACAGCATCTGGGAGAAGTTGCAATGCATCTGGTAGGCCTCGTTCTCTCTCACTGGGTCTCCACACATTCGGTACAAGTCTGCAGGAAATATAAATAGACGTTCACAGCATTTAGTTTCCTAAATATAAACAGTTTACTACTTTTAGTCAATCCACTTTTCACCCTAGTAAACAGGTATTTTAATAGGCTTTGGCCTATTCTATAAAATAAAATTAATGGGGCTCAGTTTTTTTTATGGCAACACCATATCGAGGTGTCTTTTAAGGTGAAGATGAGTGAACAAAGAGAGTTGAATAAATAAGATGACAGCATTGTTACTCACAGCTGTTTTTTAAAACAAGATAATTAATTAAAAGCCCACATACTGGCTTTAAGCTGGGTTTAATTTCAAGCCGATAAAATGAATTCTCGGTGTCTGAATTAAAATTCAAAGTCAGATTTTTTAGGTTCAAAATTCAAAATTTGCAAAACCGGTCAAATTACTTTATACCTTTCGTACTGTTAGAAGTAATTGATTTATTTATTTTTAACCCCTTGAAGAAAAGTTTAATTTTTTTTTTTTTTTTTTTTAATATAACACATTACAAAAGAAGAATATATTTTAAGTTAATACACATTCAAATTTCTCGCCTACTCCCCACTGCTCAAGACGAAGCTTGCTCCAAGAAGATGAAGCCGCCATCTTTTTCTTTCACTTCAGTCTAGTATTTCAAGGTTGGTGCACGCATAGAATTTTCTCTTTTTAAAATCAAATTTTTAACTTTAAATTTTACATTTTCCTTTTGCTACTACGCCACAACACAGACATTACTCACAAACTTAAAACCTACCATGTCTTCAGGTAAACGTTTGAAACAGTTACATACAAATTGGGACAATATTTTTGATTTGAGTTTTCTGAGTTGACACTGAGATTATGTCAACACTTACAAGGGGAAAAAATATTCACCTCATGAACTCCGGCTGACATTCCATAACCCTTGCATTGTTGCTTAACATCAAAGACTGAGACGTTAATCCTTATGTCGACAGTACTAACGCACCTTTCAATATTGCTGACGCCCATAGCTGCACATGCACGTCGGGTATCTTGCTGGCCAACTGCATGGCTGGAGTCACCATGTTCATACTCTCCTGACTGTTGCCCAATGATAAGAATATGTGTCCCAGCAACACCAGAGTACACGAGGTTAGGCGATTCGAGTCCTCAGCATTCGCCATCTTCAACGTTTCTCTCAAGTACCTCCTGCAAAAAGGTATGTGTTATCAACAAGTTCTGTCTTTTCGTAACAGTTTTAAATACTTTGTGAAATATGTAAACGTAAACTGAATCTTTTACGTAGATACACAGATTTAAAAGGTATTCCTGATACACCCACAAATCATATGGGTTTGAACCGCTTTCCTGAAAAGCGTTTGTGTACCTCCTTGAAAAATGCCACAGACATACACAATGAAAATTAAAGAATTGTAAAACTAATACGTGAAATAATGCAAAAATAACATATTAAAAGTAATACATAAACTTTCAGGACAACATGATTTAGAGTTTTCTTCTTACTTTACATTAATAAACATTCAGTGTAAAAGTAGTGGTTTTCAACCCAATACAAATGTTTTCTTGAATGATTCCACTATAAGAGTCTCCATTACACAATCTTCAACTGAACAAACGTATCTGAGGATGATTGAGAACCAAGATACTGGCTTGCTACATCTGTGTGGTACAACTGTTGTAGAATTAACATAAAAACCTGCTACATTTCCAATAATCTACAGTTGAAAGCACTTTGTTCTTGTTCAAATGGTATTCTCTAACCGCTACTCACTTGGCCTCGTTGTATCTGGCCAGAAAGAACGACTGTAGACCCTGCACGTAGTATGCGGCTGCTCGCAAACTGTGTGAGTGAGAAGGCAACGTTTCTGGGTTTATCCTCTCTAGCAGGTTGGAAAACTCCATCTCACGCTTGCCTCGGAGATACACAATGCCCAAGTTGAGGTTGGCAAACGTCCACAGATCTCGCTCTTGTGATAACTGTCGGAAGAAAAGTTTAAATTAATGGGTGAATCAAAATGTCTTTATTTGATAGTGTTTCTGATTCATAAGATATCAGAACAACCACGTTGTGATTTTCTACAATAAAGAATATCAGTCTTTAACCCATTTTCAGTATCTGTTGAAAAATCACAGGGATTTGCAAGCTTACACACTTAAACAAGCAATCAAAATTCATGTTTTCGGCCCCTGGACTATATTGTTAAGACAATAATAGGTTTTTACATACCTCAGTCAAATAGTCCAAAAATGACATTGCTCAACAGCTGTTGAGCAATGTCATTTTTGGACTATTAGACTGAGGTATGTAAAAACCTATTATTGTCTAAACAAGCAAGCTTAGGCCTTAGCTTAAAAACACTGTGAAATGTCCATATGGTAGTCAATTTGTATTAGGCCTATTTACAAGGCCTATTAGCAAGGCCTAATACAAGTTGACTACGGCATAAAAACACAAAAATGAAGATGTTTTAGAAAGTTATTCTTTAGCATCGGAGTTCCAATTAAAGTTTTGGCATATTGTCAGGTCTAAGAATTTAGTTTGGTTTATTTTAGTTATTTCTTGGTTTGGCAATTATTTCAGACTACCATATGGACATTTTGCAGTGTTTGTTGCTAGACTATTCTGAGTAAATGTTAGTGGTCAAAGTGGTCATATTATTCAAAACTGATAGTTTACTAAACTGCCTCTTTAAAAGTTTTATCTGATATTTTTTTTAATGGCTTTATAAGCTTAGAACGCCAATTTAAATGTGCCAGTGGGTGTTTGTATGTCTGCCAGGAAATAGTTGATAAATAAAGTTAAGAGTATTTCTCCCTGTGGTATGCAGTTTTAGATTTTTTTAAAGATGCAGTTTTTAGTAATGTTAAATATTTATTTGAGAATCCCCAAGAAGTGAATTTTCTGTGATATTAGAGACCTCAACGGAAAACTGGTGTCACTTTAAATAACTTTCCTGACCCCCTAACAAAATCAATGATAGTTTTGCAACCTCAATGTAAAATTAGTGACTTTCGTGATCCCTAGTCAAATAAGTAACATTTTAGTGATATTTGTGGACAAGTCAAATCAATACTGTAATGATTTAGTGACTTTTTTTAGCCCCTTGTAAAATTAATGACTTGCATGACCTCTTAGAAAACCAGCGACCTTTGTGACCTAGTGAAATAAACAATTTGTACTACCCCTGGTAAAACCAGTATCTCCAGCAACATGTCACACTTACCCTGAGTGCGGCCATGAACTGTCCCTCGGCTGCCTCCATACAGTTCATGCTCATGGCGTACAGTCCCAGCAGAGTGTGCAGCTGCGGCCGATGACTCTGGAGCAGTTTGGGTTGTGACTCGCACAGTGAGCACGCCTGCGCCATCTCCTGGAGCGCCAGCGTCTTGTTGCCCATCACCAGTCGACACATCACTATATGCTCCAGCAGCATCAGTTGGAACACGGAGAGGATCGGCTTGTTGTCCACAACTACAACATGGCTACTGTTAGTACTACATACACAACAGGGGAGCGAGCTGGTCTAGTGGTAGAACGCAGGACTTTGGTCCTTGAGGACACGGGTTCAAATCCCACCAAATCACCAATTGTCTTTTTCTAAGTGAGTAATGTCTTAACCCCTAGGCCTAACCTGAAATAATGTAAAAAACGATCACGGGATAGAGCCTAGCGTCCTAGGAAAAAAATCACATCAGAGTACTGCTAATCTTGACCACCTGTTAGTGGTTAGTGTGAAAAATTAAGGTAACTAAACTAAAACAAAGCTATGCGTTCTGAAATAGCTTTCTATCGACGGGTGTCTTTAGACCAAGCAAAAACACAACTTTTGTATAGAACCAGGAAATTTTCAATTAATTCTTATCATAAATGGCAGGACATCCACTCATTTGCAGCATTTCGTTGATTCCCTTTTATGGTCGTCTTGTAGTGAAAAGACCACGATCAATGCGAACAATCACGATTTTGCTGTGGTCGGGAACCTTCTATAGCCTACTTTTACTTCTTCAAAGGTAAGTCGGCTGCTGTCCTTTTTTCTACAAAATAATTAGTACTGTAAATGTAAAATAAATGGCTATTGTAGTTTGAATAACATTAACATGTATCAAGATAGCATTTTACATAAATATTTATAATACGTTTAGTCATGATTAGGAAGAAGATTCCCAATATTTTGGTGTTAGGAGCCAAAACTATATTGTGGTATCAAGTTCGTTGAGGTGTAATTTACATGATTTTTTACTCCTTATAAACGTCTAGGTGAATTAACCAAATTGAAATTAGTTGTCACAGAAGCGACAATGAATTACTTTATGCAGATTATTAAACTTCACAAATAAAACAGACACACTACTTACTCTTGAGTTTCTCAATCTGCATGAGTGCCTTTTCCGTGTACTTCTGCGCCTTGTCCATGTAGCCAGCCTGCATGCTGTGCATCACTGTCACCAAGTAGACGAGCACATACAGGTGTTCCTTGGGCATCCATATAAACATGTCCCCTGGGTTGGCCCCACTCACAACTGTAAACACACCACATTACCTCAGACAAACTTACAAAGAAACTAGGATGGAAAACTACGGTACAATCTACTTTTTTAGCAAGTCAAACTGATAGAACAATGTATGGTGAGCTAGCAAATGTTATGACCCATCAACTAGATCAGCAATAGAAGGGTAGTAAATAGAATTTTAGACACAATAACAAATCTCTCCTGTGGCGTCAAAATTCTGATTGTCTTCCACGGTCACTGAAATGTTACCGTCATCGCCTGCGGACCTGGGAAAAGCGGTAATTATCGTCCGATCGATCTTCGCAGCTATGTCCAAATTTTGGTATCAATATCGAGATTGATATTGATATTTACACATCCCTACTTAAATTATGTTTCAGGCATCAATTAATGGACATTTTGATTAGATTTTACATGGCCAATAATAATCCCAATTATGACAATAAAGGCTAAATCTCAACTTTCCAATAGTATTTTGAAATTCAATAAACTGATTCCCAACTTTCCCGTTTTTCCCGACTACTAGACACCCTGGTTGTGTATTTTTTTTAATCGCGATGTAAAATACCTACAATAACACTAGTGATGGGTCGGTTTTGCTGCTGAGTTTGAGGTTCGAGTTGTACATTCAGCTCAGCGCTAATTATGTTGCTTCTGTATTTCCATAGTTCGTACAAAACAAAGTTGAATAAAGAACTGTATGAATTAAATTAAATAATCTTGTAACTTGTAACTATTATTAATGTTATTAATAATCAACTTCAGATAAAGGAAGGATCGTTCAAGGTTTTAAGGTAGGTAGGCCTAGTGTAATAATTTTGTTCAAATAAATCATTGAATTGATCCAGTCTTTATTAAGCTTGCCTTCTGGTTCTGCCTTCTGCTTGAAGACGGTGGAGCCGTTGGTATCGATGTTCGCACCAACCAACACTGAAATAATCATCCTAAATTCTAAACTGGCTAAATCCTAGGTTTTTTATATACCTATTTAGATTTACTTATTTATTAGAAACCTTGACAATGTACCTGTCTGTGTATTACATTTGTAATAACTCTAACAGATGTTATGTGCAATAAAGAATTGTCATTTGTCATTTGTCCTAGAGCATACTATTGATAATATTTCATGATATACGTGCCCTTTCAAATAGCCTTAAGTGAAAAATAATCATCATGGTTGACAATTTTTAAAACGAGTAAATAAAAATATAACCAATTAACTCGGTACCGACATTTCACCATCGATTCTCGGTCCCGATACTTTTCCAAAGAACCGGTGACGTTAAGTTCCGACCCATCACTAAATAACACCATAAACAACCTAAGACTTTCACTTGTTCTAGCCAATTGGTTACTTTGCTACTTACCATCGTCCGTGGGCCAGGAAGGCATCATGATAGTCTGGATGCTCTGCTGTAGCTGCTTTAGACATGGCTTTACACTCTTGACCTGACCTGCCATCAAGTAGTGGCATACCTGCAATTAGACAACTTTTTAATCACAAAGCAAAGCAGTTATTAGCACATCTTAGTTATTAGAATGGTATCAAACTCTTCAATACAATTCCATATAATATAAGTAGAATAAAGCCCTGCAAACTAATGACAAGACAAACAATTTCCACCATATAAAAATTTACCAGAATGGAATGGAGCGTGGCAGAGATTGTAACCACTGATGTACAAGGTATTCTTTCTCATCTTACCTGCAGAACAAGGAAGTAAACTTTGAGGTATTCCTTCTGATGCTGGTTGCCAGTCCAGTTGTCAACCAAGTGTCCGGCTTGGTTCAGCAATGGCAAAACTTCGAGAAATTTCTTGTCAATCAACATCAGCTGTTAAACATTGAAACATATTACAAGACTATCAGTGAGGATAGACATTTTATTATCCGTTAATAGCAATTACATAACATCTAGGCCTACTCGTATGCCGGTACTTAAGTTATGTGCTAAGGGAAAGCCAAGTGCCTGATTTTGTAAAGGGGGTAGAGTTCAGGTAGCTTACTTGATAAAATTAGGATCTAATAGGTACGGTACACAAATAAGTAAAACAAAAACACTAATTCTCTCCGACATAGAGACAATGTTGAGCTTGGCACAAAATAACAGTAAAGAAATGCACAGCACCAAAATTAATCAGACAAAATTTCAAAATATCCAGAATTTTTTTTTATAGGCCTACCTGTATCAGTTATTCCATGGACTATTATTTTCTAAGGGAAGTTTTTGCTAGGAGGGATTGAGGTATAAGCAGTTGACAAACTGTGTACCGGTAGATATAACATAAATTAAAATATAAAAAGGGCAGTACACTTTTTATCTTTTCGTGTGTACAGTCAGAGTCGATAAAAGCGGTTTACTTGACGCAGAGACTTTAGTGTAATGCTATGGCACATAGAAATAGCACACCTAACGATACTTAACTGTCAATAGGGAGGACAGCTAAAAGTTGGATTGTAACAAAGCTTTTACGTCATTCTACACAAATTCACCTTGCTCACTGTGGCGGGATCTAGTTCAAAATCAATAAAATAAGAAAAATTCCATTTGCACACTCACCATACACCTGCTGAGTAGGAACAAAACTCTGGTATAATGGGCCTGAGAGATGTGAGCGTAGTCGACGCCAACACCCAATAGACTGCTCGCCAGCTCATAGTCCTTCTCAGTAGCGTGAATTTGCTGAAAAATTTTTATATATAACTCAATACTGTAACTCTGAAGTGTACACATCATTTCTTCCATTAATAGCTTAGTAGGTTGATTATCTGAAAGGCAAAACCCTGTCATGTTCCGATGGCGACTGGTAGGAGTGTGTGTGTGTCATCAATCTGTAGGTTGTGCCGAAAGCGTCACCAACTTGTCTCATTGTTAGCAGCAATGCTGTCTGAATTTGTCAATGAATCGGATTGACTTTAAAGTGGACAAAACACAAATATGTGGTTCTTAATATTTCAGACAAACTTAGGAGTCTTCTTTACCCCTACAAAAACAATAAAAACATGCCTTGGACGTCCCCTCATTCCGGATGGAATGTGTAAAGATATAATGTTAACACTTTTTTTCCCTTACAGATTAATGTTTGTTCCCTCATACATGATATCCAAGAAAAAGTATGTAAATTGAGTCACTTTTAAACATTGATAAAACTATTTCTTTTTTCATTTTCAATTTTTTGAGGTATAATTGCTCTAATATAACTATAAACTCTAATACTCTAATATTCAACTACTATGTCTATGTAGATATAAAATATACCGCACAACACTTTGTGTCCACACACTAATTTACTAGGAACAAAAAGAGCTAATACATTTCATAAAATAGGCTAGGACATATAGAATATTGAATGAATGTTATTTGTAAATAATTATGAACACTAAGTAGATTGAACTTACAGCTAGTTGAAATATTAATCGACAATGCCAGTATATACTATGTTGCGACAGTTCGATGGCTTTCCTCAATATTGGTTTCGATAGGTTTGATTGGTTCTGTTGCTCGTACAGTTCTGCTAAAACACTCGCTGCTTCAAATTTAACATCGTCAAAGGCATTTATAATCTGCGAGAGAAGCCACTGAAACAGAAAAATTGAACATACCAAATGTAAATTAGATCAATACATTGTTATAAATTACTCCACTTCACTTAACCTAGGCCTACTAACTTCATTTACTAAATAAAATGGGTCACCAGGATTTTATCCCCCTGGAATTTTACCCCTTGAGCAGAGCTGACGTCGAACTAAGACGTAGTCATCAGTGTGCTCTCAAGTTTGTTTACGGGGGGAATTTTACCTTCGTGATTTGGGAGTCTATTGAAAATATACAGAGCATGATGAATTAGATTACCAATAAAAGCCAGACTTTTACCCCCTATATAACTAGGGTTTAGGCAATTGAAGATACATTTTTTTGCTGATTAAATGTCTTTCTAAAAAAACCTATTACGTAAAACCATTATTAGTGTAAATAGTGTGCGAAGTGGCACTTTGCTGTACATGAGGGAAATGTTTACGGACGAGCCGCAGGCGAGTGTGGAAAGTTTCTCGAGTGCAGCAAAGCCACTTTGCACTCACGTTATGTACATTATTTTTCCTACAGTTACTATAAAGCATATAAATAATTAGTCTTTCAAACACTATAGCCTAGGCCCTACAAGACGTTTTTAGGTTAGGTTAAATCCAAAAGTTAAAATGGGAAACACCGCTGATTGTAGTCATTGCATCTTTAAGTGTAGCCAACTTTTCAAGCATACACGTATTACAAGGAAGCCCACTTTGTCAGGTAACTGTAGAAAAATTAATTATTTATCACCAAATTCTATATATGGACAGAGGGTAAAATTATGGGAGTAAAAACCCGGCCTGAACACTCTAGGTTTTATAATTGAATTTGTTCTGATTAAATTCACAACCGTGACAAGATAGCCTACCTTAAATTTCAACATTAATTTCTTCAACTCAGGCTGTTCGTCAACTCAAAAGTTTGCGGCCGTAATTTTACCCACTAGGCTGGGACGTCAGTTTTGCTCAGGGGGTAAAATTCCAGGGGGATAAAATTCCGCTACCCCAAAAAAATTAGCTACGGTAATAATTAAATCAATTTGGAAGACCTAGGATATATTAAGTTATATAACTTAAATGCTTTTTAAGAAGCATGCTGTAGCAAATAGGATATAATTTCAAAATTATTAAGCATAAAAAAAGAGATATTTAAACAAAAATCATCATACATTGGAATAGGCTACAATTTTTTAATCAATTAGGTGCCAAGAATCAACCAATAAAAATCCAAAATGAAGCAGATGACAACAGATTTTAAAACGCTCTAAAATTACATTTGACACTAAATGCTCTTTATAAATACAAAGATTTCTGGGCTAAGCAATAACAGCATTGACTTGAAATGTTTTTAGGCCTAATTGCTGTTTCACTGAAGTGTATTTTTGTTTTCACTGAAGTACCGGTACCTACCTAAGTTATATTTTTGTTTTATACCTGAGAGATGACTGTATTATTTTGATGTTTTGTTTTTAAGTTATTTGTCTTTTAAGTAGGTATTTGTGTTTATATTTATGTTATGCTGAATTTGACACCATTCTTATATAGGCCTAGGTATACAATAATTGAACAATGAATAAAGATGTTTTGAATTGAATTAAAAAAGGCCTAAATCCTAATCTAAACTAGCCTAACTTGGTGTGGCAGGTGCCAGTCAAAACTGGATTCAACAAAAAACCAGGATTTCCCGAATTCCATCACAGTCATAAGGAGTTGTGGCAAGAGGGATCTAAGTTTAGTAGATCGGTAGGCCTAGTCCGTGTATCAGTCATACTAATAAATCTTCTTACTCTGACTTTACACTTTGATTTTTACCAATATAAGACAGTCAATGCACTTTGGCCTACTGTTAGAGTATTACGACAATAAAAGATTTGTATTTGTACTAATTTATCGCTGCTGTGACATGCTTCAACAACTCAACACTTTAAAAATAAAAGTATTATTAGGCCTATTAAAAAAAGTTCTTAATTGTCCTACGAGATCTTATCTTTACTAGGCCTAAATTTATCAAGGTAAGTTTAATTGCTAAACAACTTACATGTATAGGCCTACATTGTAAGTTAAGTTAGTTCTTAGGTTTCATTCATCCTATTTAAGTTATTGTCAGATTTATTATTGCAAGATTCCTTTTATCATTTAAAATGAACTTATTTATTAGTAATAGTTCATAGTTAGAAGAATTACATTTACAACTTTCAGTCTCAGTCAGCTTGAAGCCTGAATACAGTTTTAGACGAAATTGTATCTATCCTTTAAGTTAGTGGAGAAACCATAGGAATAAATAAATAGGCCTAAAACATAAAAGTTAAACTTGAATCACTTTCAAAAAGTTCAATTATATAAGCTTTAGTTACAAATTTGGAACAAGCTTGTCAATTAATTTGAGAACTTAAGTTTAGGGCACAAGTTAGGCCTCTACCCATGATTGGAAGACTAGGCTACCACCCACGCTTAAAATAGGAGGCCACATAGGCTATTGTAGTCATTTTCATATGTAATTTAACATAGCCTAAATGATATTAAGGGCGGGTTTCTGAGTCAGGGATTTATAAGTCCAGAACTAGGCTAGTCATGGATTAAAATTAGTCATGTACTAAAAATTCACTTTCTGAGTCACGGATTAAGGACACACGGACTAATTTAACGCGGGTACTTAGTTTAGTCAGAGATTAAAAGAGCTCATGATTTTCAAGGGAAATGTAGGGTAATTTGTGCCGCCGTACTGGCAACACTGTCAGTTTGATGTGCCCACTGCTCTGAAATCTGCTGAAATAGTAAACAAAACAACAAACAACGATCTCAGTCAAACCTTGGTTTTGAGGTTATTTCTGTTTCAATTCATTTATCATTGTAATATATTTTATTATTATTATAAACTAGTTGTATCGTAAAATTTTAAAGTTAGGATTGGTGTTTAATCCTATTTATATTATATAGATCTGGATGACTTTCTGATGAGTGATTTAAGACAAGGAAATTATAAAGTGGTGTATGAACAAAATTAACATATTTTAAGAGACTTAATTAATACTAAATGATGAATGTATGAAATGAAATATTACAACTTTTTGGAGAAAAAAGTCTCTGGATGAGGTCTGCACAAGATAAAACCCTAAACTATTTACAAATATATTTACAAACTATTTAAAACTCTATTTAGTATTTTATTTTATTTTATTCTTTTCTATTTTATTATCTTACAGAGTTTTTTTTTTTTTTTTTAAACCTATACCTATCCTTGAATTTATCCTCACTTAAGTCATCAAATGGATTGTTTTCCCGCTCACGACGAATTCGCGGCCCACGAAAACGGTAAAAATCATGATAATCAATGTAATCCATAATCACCTTCAACTTTAACACACAAAAATGACTTAGGTTAAAAGTGGACGACTAAAATTAATCCTACCCCTATGCAGGATTAAAATCTATCATGTTTTAATCCGTGGACTAAAGCATAATTTCTTTAGTTCTGCCTTAAAAACTAGTTCTTGACTAAAATTAGTCGCTGACTTATAAGTACTCGAATCAGAAAGATATTTTTCTTAGTCCAGTACTAAAATGAGCTTTAAGTCTAAGACTAGCGCTAATACCTGAATCAGAAACCCGCCCTAAGTCGATACCAAGTGGAACTACTCAGAAAGTTACACAGGGCTAAAATTTTATTTTGGTGGGAAGATTGAGACTTCAAATTATTTTAAGGTTAAGACTATAAAGCAAGTTAACCCTGGCTAAACGGATATTAAATGCATAAAAATAAATCACTCTTGATCAAAAAGATGTTCGACTATGTATATTACATTTCACATACTTGACTAATTAATTACGATGTCTGATTGCCTATTGCCTTCAATGACTAACAGAAGTAGCAGAACAGAAGTAGTAAGATAACCAGAAGTCTAAAGCTCAAGTTTAGGGTCAAATTTCTTTTTATAATATTACGTTGAGAAATTATTAAATAATTACTTATCGAAGAACAAGAAACAATTATTTTTACAACGTTATAGTAGTAAATTGAATTAAATATATTATATAAAAACTTACAGCTTGTTCTAAATGGCTCCTTGCCAAATCAACATTTTTGGTATGGGTTAAAAGTATATTTCCAAGTTGTAAATGTGTTCTAGCTTCAACTCTAGGTGGAGGTTTAAAATGAAATACTGCTTGTAAACACTGAATGCACAATTTGATGTTCGGAGGACTTGAAGTTCTAAAATTTTCGGCTAACCCTAATAATGATAAATACCAAGCATCCTGCGAGGAAGCCATTTTCAGAGTTTACTAACAAGAAGAACTGCCAACATTCCAAAAAACTTTGAAACACAACAGGCAGTACCGCCAACAAAGAATTTAAATCAAAATGAAAAATAAATTTTGATCTCATTCGGTACAGTAAGAAATGGATTATTAAATTTAAGCAATTTAATTTACCTAAGTCATGGGTTGATTTAATCTTGGAAGTTCCACCATGGATTAATTTCTTAAATCGTTAAAGAAATTTTCGAATAAATTACCATTCTGATGTTTGTTTATACGTCATATGAAATATACGCCTTGATACTAACCAATAGTGGCTTCAAAGATTGAATCTTGACACTCAAATCTCAAAATTAAAATTAAAAACCTTTTCGATTAGTTGATGTTACAGATAAATTAAGATGGGCTACTTTTAATAAAATGTTTACTAATAAATTAAAACTGAATGAAGATAATTAACCATTCTCACTAATATACCTGGCCAGGGGGTAAAAATCCGGGGTAAAATCCGGAGGATAAAATTCCGGGGGTAAAAATCCGGGCCGTACATTTTGATCTGACCTCATGAAGGGGGTAAAAGTCCTGGGGTAAAATTCCGTCCCGTACACTTATAGGTTTTTATAATTTGATGTGTTCTTATTAAATTCACAACCGTGAAAATATACGTTTAAATCCCCGTTCAATCCATCAAACTGATGTCACGAAACTTAAAAGTTTGCGGCCGGAATTTTACACCCTGGTTTGTGACGTCACGTTCACCCAGGGGGTAAAATTCCAGGGGGATAAAAATCCACCACCCCGTCTAAGGAGGGCTTTGAACACGTCAGCCAGGAGTGGCAGAGGCGCTGGAACAAGTGTGTGGCATTGAATGGCAACTACCGGTACTTAGAAGAAGAAAGCAGTGTTAAAATCCAATCTTTTATGTGAAAGGTCTTGAAAGAGTACTATCAGTCTTTATTGAACACCCCCTCGTATTTCACCAGTCATAAATATATAAATCCTATATATTTTGGTCTAAGAATCTTCAGTGAAATACCGGCTTTCATTTAAGTTATTAATTATTCAAATCGGACGAGTTTCAAGCAAACGCAAGGTGAACAACCAACATAAAAATTATTTTTTATTTAAGGCTTTCCTATGTTTAAAAATCAATAGCTCCAGTAATACTTAATGAAGATGCATGGCCTGAAGGAATTTTGCTATGTCGTTATGTACCATCTAGGCTAAATAATGGAAACCGGTCTGGTGCTAGAATTGATCATACAGAAGAGGGGTACTGTTAGGCCTAGGCCTTTGCCTAGTCAAACAGACATAGGCTTGTCTAAAAAAAACTTGGTTTAGACATCCATCAAGAAATGGAGATGGAGTCTTTTGTACATAATGTGAATAGTCCATCATTAAGAATTAGTTTTTTAAATATAAGGTCAATTTTCAACAAGGTTGAGGAGATTGAAGTAGAAATAGAGGATAGCTCTCCGGATATCTTATGTTTTGCGGAGACTTGGTTAAATGATGTAAAAAATCAATCTTTTAGAATAAATGGTTACAATAAAGTAGTCAGTGTATTTAGATCGGATGGAAATGGCGGAGGGGGTGTCCATATTGAAAAAAGAGAATACTAATGTAAAATCCTACTCACTAAATGAAAATATTACAAATATCATGGTTGAAGATGTATGTGAAAGTAGTGCTTGTGTGATTACTACTTCCGATAAGTTTAAGTTTATTTTGCTTGTTACATACAGACCTCCATATGATCTTAACTTCTATCAGTTTATTGAGATTTTTGAGGACATTCTAAATCAAATAAAGGATCTTAATCTTCCCATCATTATTTGCGGAGATTTCAACATCAACAACAACGAAGATACCTTGCATAGGAGATGCTTTATGGATGTTATTAGGTCCCATAAATTAGTTAATACAGTCAAGAAGAATACTAGGGTTACACAGAACACAGCTACCTTAATTGACTATATATTTGTTAGCGATGATATTCAATACATAAATTGTATAAATATGGTCACGCCAATGTCTGATCATAGCTGGTTGCACATTGATTTAGTGTGGGAGATGATCTGTAATGTTAGATATAAGATTGAGAAACCAAGAATTTTAAAAACTGGAATGGAGGAATTTCAATATTATTTGAGTCACGAGTGTTGGCCTTTAGACGATGATAGTAGAGGCACTGATAATTTATTTGATGTTTTTATGATACTTTTACCTATTATTTTGCTGTATGTTTCCCTAAATCTTTGATTAAAATAAATAGTAATTTTGTGATGTAAACTGGAAAAACGAAGAGGTGAGAGGATCTCGTGCGAAACTGACTGATCTTTACTGGATGACTAGACGCTCGGATAGCACGGAGGTAAAGGCGAGATACATCGAAGCAAAGAAACATCATGCTCAATTGGTTAGCTCTTGTAAGAAGAATTATTTTGGCAATAAAATTACTAAATCCAAGAATGTTAGTAAGGAATCATGGAGAGTTGTACATAGCCTTACTAAAGATACTTTTGTCAATGAAAATATCTGCTTAAAAGTAAATGATAAGTCCCTTGATGATCCAGTGAAGATTGCCAATACTTTTAATAAATTCTTTTATGAGGAGGTTATTAATGTTGTGGGTGGTGGCCATAACGTTGATGTTTCACAGGAAGATGTTATGGTGGAGGAGACAAATTTCAACTTGATGAGTCTTTGGCCTACCGATGAGAAAGAAATCTTGAAGATTATTGAATCAACATGTAGTAAACCTAGTTCTGGTATAGATGACATTCCATGTACCATTGTGAAGTCTTGTGCTCACTTGGTGGCTAAACCCCTCATGACAATAATAAATAAATCTTTCAAGGAAGGGAAATTCCCAGACAGAATCAAAACTTCCAAAATAATACCGATTCACAAAAAGAACGGGAAAAATGTAATTAGTAATTATAGACCAGTTGCGGTTCAGTCAGTCTTTTCAAAAATATTTGAAGTGGCCTTTCTAAATAGACTACTGCCTTACCTTGAACAAAACAAAATCTTATTGCAAAATCAATTTGGATTCCGGAAAAAGAAATCAACTACAGATGCTATATTCTCATTATTGACCTCAGTTCATGACAGGATTGATGGCATGGAAGATGTGTATGCTTTGTTTTACGACATGACTAAAGCATTTGATTGCATTAATCATAGCCTACTAAAAAATAAATTGTCAAAGTTTGGTATTAAGAACCAACCATTAGATTGGATCATGTCATTTCTAAGGGACAGGTCACAAGTGGTAGTAGTCAAACACCTTGGTGAGGATCATGTAATAAGAGGATACAAGTCAGAGATACAACATGATGTGAATACCGGCGTTCCGCAGGGTTCTAACTTGGGTCCTGTTATTTTCTTACTATTTGTTAATGATCTACCAGAAGTTGTGCAGCAGGGTGAGGTATGGCTTTATGCTGATGACGTCTGTCATATGGTGTCCGACTCAAATACATATGAATCAATTAAGAAGTCTCAGTCCGGTGTAAATAGCGTGGCTAATTGGTGCCATAATAATAAGTTGGTATTAAATCAAGGAAAAACTGGATTTCTACATTTTTATAACAGGAAAAAACCAGACTACAGCCCTTTGATTAAAATGGACCAAGTTAATATCAAACCTCAAAATAGTTTTAAATATCTCGGCATTAACATTTGCGATAATCTGAGATGGAATGACCATATTGACAATGTAATAGAGAGACTGACCGTGGTCTGCTGCCTGGCTCGTAGACTGAGAAATGTGGTCGAATTAGATGTTCTGATGAAGATTTACTATGGGTGTTTCCATAGCATTTTAAGTTATGGAGTTGCATTTTGGGGAGGATGTAGTGAGGCCAACAGAGTTTTTCTGTTACAAAAAAGAATTATAAGAATTATATGCAAGGTTCATTACCTGGAGCATTGTAAGCCTTTATTCCAAGATCTAAAAATATTGACTCTTTCATCTGTCGTAATTCTGGAATCTTCCTTGCTGGTTTTGAAATTTCCTGAAATATTTAAGAGGAACGAAGAAGTTCATAGTTACAACACAAGAGGCAAACTCAACGTGCACCTTAAAAGCCATAGAACAACTTTGATCCAATCAGGTGTTCAAGGACTGGCCAGTAAAGTTTTTAATAGGTTACCGGTTGAATTAAGAAGTTGCTCTGTACCAACCGAATTCAAGAAAAAATTGAAGAATTATTTAATGGAAAAGGCCTATTACTCTATTGATGAATACCTGAGTGATGAAGATATTATATAGGCCTACTACTCTATATAAACCAAATAATGACGACCACGGCTGAAATGCTACAAGTGGGATACCTTCAAGTATGCAAGTAAGTAAGTATGCAAAATGTTCATGTTTTTTATATGTTTTAGACTCATGCATATTAATCAGTAAATCATAGACTATAATTTGAAATATTGATAGTTTGAATCAGTTAAGTTCAAGATACTGTATTACTCTATCAAAAATCATAAATTTGATTATTTCTCGGATAAGCGGAGCAGCATTGGTCGTCATCTAGTAAATCATAAGGATGTCAAGTATTTTGTTAATTTCTTATATGTGTGTTCCAAATAATAAAAATATGTTTATCAATTTTTGTTGGGTCAGACTTATTACATAGAGCAGAGTCAATGAATAAAATGTAGAATTGACTGTTAGATTAGTACGGCGAATTTTAATACTTTTCACTGTAATTTTGACCATACGAAGGTAGGTATTTTAAGCCAAGTATGAATGGAGATGAGTGTAGGATGATCTTGTAGTCTTGATACTGACTAAGTTGACTGTAGTCAACTTTAAAGTTTCTATCTATATAGAAAAAGTTTTAATGGACAGGAAACTGTATTGAATAACACAATGGTAAGGTAATATATCATTTTCTTTATATAACACATCCATCTAAATAACAAAATGTCCACTTTTTGTTTTGTGACTTAAAATTAAATACCTTATCAATAAACATTAGAACAACATAGTTTTTAAGAATCACAGTAGAAACAGTAAAAATAATTCACAACCTTTACACTTTATTTAACAATCTTACGATACTTTAAGCATCTAAGTAACCTATAACTTCTAAAGTATAACTATTTCATATTCTCACTTAGGTAACTTAAATGTACGCTATATCATACACCATCTGCGGCAATAAACTTAAAATTTACCTATATTAACTTGAATATTAATAAAATAATACTTGTTTATAGGAAATGGAAAACTTTGTTTCGCTTTATTAGTAAACCCTTTTTACCTATGTCACTTATATTCTTCAAATCAATAGAAATCATTGTATTTGAGCTTTAAATATACTGTATTTGGAAGACATTTAAATAACTATTAAATTGACAAACTTATTAACTTTGGCATACATATTTAACAAAGTTAAGTATCAACTATTAAATCACAGTTAAATGAGTGTTAACACAATTTTTAAACAACAAAAACATTGCTGGATATAGCAATTCATACTATATATCCTACTGTATACAATCTGTGTGTTAATGTATTGTTTAGTGTATTCAACTGTTTGCAAGTTTCTTACAATGATATAATATCCTAAAAAATCTAAGAAAAAACACTACTTTCTAAAGGGTATATTGATCTTTGAAGCTATTAAACTTCAAGGTTGGTGAATACTGACAAACCTCGAAAGCAAGGACTCCTTATAATAGCATTTCTGAAACCCCATTCAAGCGATAAATTGCTGGGGGTTCTAGATATCAACAACTCTCTAATATACCTTATCGAATGTTGAATTCTGTTATTCTGAAAGTGTTGCTTTTGAGGTTACGGTACATTATTCTTACTAAGAATAAGATGTACCGTAACCTCAATACAGAGGTAAATTACTTTTCTCTTATAAATCAAATGGCCATCATGCCTCCTTAGAATACACCAGTGTAATGAATCTGCACAAACTCGTCCGGTAGATGAAGATTGTTTTTGCGGAACGGAATCTCCGAGAGTTGCTGATCTATTGGTAATCGAGTATCATAGAGTGACGGAGCCTGGAAGATGATGCCACAAGTTCCGCCGATGCAAGCTAGAGTGAAAACCCACAAGAAAAACCGATCGAGCACCATCGAAATGTACTTCCAGTCTTCCACAATCTGTAATGTAGAAATAGGATTATATTTAAATTAAATCAAAATTATGTTTATCCATTATGTATGAAAACTATGTATAAAAGCTACATCAAAGTGTGATATTTTGTAAAACACTAAAAGTCTTTACACATTTTGTCAATGCCAAACAATGTTTGTTATGCCATAAGTAGGTGTTAATACAATTTTTATTATAGATAGTCTTAGTTGCTGTTGCCTGTGTTATTGAGTATAGTTTTTGGGTTACTCTATGAATTTTTCCAGCTTGCGTGGCATTTTTATTTTTTTTATAGGGGCATCTTCTTATCACTAACACTATAGTCTTTATATTTACAAAATAATAGACTACAGTATAGTGTTAGTGGGTTTGTTCGACCCAACAGCAATACCAGTCAGTGTAAATATTTTTGTAAATAAATAGACTATAATATAGTGTATGTGATGAGAAGATATCTTAAAGGTGACCTCCTATGAAAATTACCCACAAGGTGCTGAAATGTGCTGTAATATGTACCTACTTGATGAGTTTGTTGATATCGATTGAATAATGCAAGGATAAAGTCTGAGCTTTTTTGTTGTGATACCTGAGGACCAATAGATGGTTTTATTTTGTAAATAGTTTTAAATTAAGTGAACTGACAATAAAACAATTATTAACATACACATTGAACCTGGGATGAAAAAAAATATATTAGTATGGACAATGGACATGAAACACGCCAAAATAAGGTTAGATTTAAATGTAGGACGAGAGTCTAAGGACGAGTGTCAGTATCCAAGGTAAACTTTAGTTAGAAATAGAATATTTGCCAAAAAAAAAAAAAAAATTAAAGCTATAGACTATACATTAGGTATTGATATTCACAAACAAAAAATAATGTCAATATATATTTTGATAAAAAAGATAACTTATATAAATCTCACCTCATTATCTTTATCAGCGTCTTTGATATGCTGAGCAATAAACCGGACTCCTTGTAAAGCTGACAACACATCAGGTGACATTTGCCGAGGCAGCGTGTTCTCAGACTCAGTCACTATAAAATCGTCACTATTAGTTTGACTATTTTGTGTTGTTAACAGTTTTATGAACTGAGTTGACAAGAATCCGACTTATTTGTTAAGTTGAAACAGAAGTAAAAATTCTTTGATTATTTTTGAATGCCCATAAGGTATACATGGGAAACACTGGAGCAGATTCCAAAAGGACTTTTGAGACAAGAACATGCCTCTATCATAATGGGGAATGCTAAAACAACCAAAATAAAATGTTGTAGAAAAATATGTGCCACAAAATTCCTAGGGGAAAAAACCTTAAATGTAGAACAAATCTGTAGTAAAGTTTTTAATTATGAATGCAAGTAAGTAGCCATAACTCACTTGAGGAATGCGGTTGATGTCGACTGTCGTCATTCAGTGCTGAGCGGTAAGCGGTGGCGACGGACTCAAAACCTCGTGGTTCATGAGGATCCTTGGAGTCTCCTGGGTAAGGATCACTGATACTGTCTCTGAAATAACATTGACTTCTTTGAAAAACCGAATATATAGTGTCGTATGGTTGTTGCTATACACTCTCAGAAAAAGTGTCAATTCTTATACTGTTTCTGGTTTAACACACTATTGTCAGAAAATTGGGGTTATCAGTATTAATGGGTAAATAATTCCAGCTAATTTTATGGGATCAAGGTATTGATCTTGCTTAATGAAGATCAAAACAAAAACAAAAGTTTGTATTTTGTAATGATGTTTAGTAGATTTAAAAGTCACCAAATAAACTGAGTAGTTTTCATTTATGTTCCATGTTATCTGCAAACACATATTTCTCGGATAAAAATAAATAAATACCTGAAGTCGCCGTCATTGATGTATCCCCCATCAGAGAAAGATTCATCGTAAGAGTCTCGTAGAGAGTACGGAGGTCGTCTCATCATGAGAATCCTTGGCATTATGTGCAAGAATACTTTCTTAACCCAAGGAGACATCTTGTGTGTAGATGGAGACCTATGATGAAAAAACCAGAATGTAATTTTAACACAAAGTCTTCATTAACTGTATATGACAATGAGAATTGTTGTATAGCCCTATAGCTTGCAGCTTAGATATTTCGTAAACTTGTTAAATGAAAAGTTTGATTTGCTATAACACTGAATGCCTATACATAACTTCAAACAATTTAATGATTCAAGAGCCACAAGATGGAAATTTTTTCTTAAAAACAAAATCTAAACAGTAAACTATGAAAGCAAATATTTAAACTGTTTACATAAATCATGTATTAAGTTTGTTTATTCACCCATCAATCAATGTATCTATTCATCAATTTATTTTTTCATTCACTTATCAATTCCACTGATTCAGTCACCAGTACTACTACTACTAAAATAACCTTTCGGTAGCGCTCAAGATAATTTAATTATTAATTACCCTTTCAAATAATATTTACCAACTCTTTACTAACATTGGACAGCATTCATGATACAGAACGATACCTGAAGTGTACGTTCAAGACGCATACAGTGACGCAGATAGAGAGAGTGACCAAGATCATGGTGAACAGCAAGTATTTGCCGAGTAGAGGCACGGCGAGTGACGTAGGGGGGATGATCTCGGCAAGCAGCAAGAAAAACACAGTCAGGGACACGAGGATTGAACTGCACAATGTCACCTGCAGGAAAGAAAACATTAATAACCTCATGAAGTATTTCACCTGGGGAATTTTGAAAATTCCTACCATCCTGTTAAAAACCGATTCACATTTCCTGCATACTTTTATGTGATGGAAAATGTCCATAATATTCTTTTGGATAATGTAAACATCACAATCGCTAAACTTAGCCTAAAATTCTCAATGTATATAATCTATTAAGAGGTTAAGGACTAATCATTTGAATCTCCCACGTGAAGATTCATTGAGATTAACCTTCGAGAGGTACTATCAGAAAAATAAATCTGTCTGCAAACAACGTCTGCAATAATCTCATAACATTAAAACTCACCATCACCCAAAATAAAATTTTTAGCAAAGAATACAGTTTTATCTGTTGCATTTCATTAATATTTCTGAATAACAAAATTGAACCGTCACTGTACTTTAACCAGGAAAGGAATTACCTCATGATGAAAATAAACTTGAATGTTACCTTTTCCCCTGAATCTGAAGGCAAGTAGAAGACCAAGACAGTAAGGAATGTGATTCCTACACATGGAATGATGAGGTTGACAGTGTAAAAGAGAGTCTTCCGCCGCATTGTGAGGTTGAAAGTTATGTCTGAAACACATAAACAAAAATACTTTTTTTTGCTTGTGTTCACACGCCAGTGGCATTTTTTTATTGAAATTCAATAGTTGGTTCAAACGCTTTAAAGGGACATCACACCGAACCCATTAAAAGTCTGTGGATCCTTGTTATAGGTTTAAGAACTTGATTATTAGATTACCTTTGCTTAGTCCAAACCCCTGAAACTTTTGTGCTGTCCGAATTGTTGAGTTTTGTAGATCAAACCCATCAACCAATTCTTCTTGCACCAGAGTCCAAAACAACAACACTAAGCTATCAAAGTAGTAACACATCCAAAACCTTAGCATAGTCATCTTATAGATTTCTCAATAGAGAGCATGCATATCTGAGGACTTTAAGTGAAGATTTACCAGAGTACGGTTCTTGACAACAAGGGTAGTACTCCTCGTTTCTGCTAGCCGGAACCTCGAGAATATCCCATTCCACGGAGAGGTAGAACTCGCTGAGATCAATACCAACAGGCACCAGGTTAGATCCTGTTTGTTGCTGCATGTGCCTCAAATCAACCTGTCACAACATGAATACATCTGTATTAACAGACTATATAACATGTGAGGCAGTTCCCATGTAGCACAGATGGTTGGGCCAACGTTGGTAAATTGTGGAGCCACACAGTTGGCCAACGGTAGAAATGTCACCTCTTTAAACTGTTTTCCAGCCAACCTTTGTCCAACAATGGCCCAACCAAAATTATTTCACACAAAATAATAAAGATTTAGTACGAAAAGCATAATTATTAGTTGAGTAAATTGATTAAATAGTTCATAAAAACAAATTTTGAAAAAAAGCTGGAACAAAATTTTTTGGCCCAGACGGGTCTCGAACCCGGGTCCTTCGACTTATGAGCCTCTTACCTTACCACTGAGCTATATCTGTGATTGTTGATACAGAGAGTTTTCAAGTGGTGAAAGAGTAGCCGACAGTTGCAATGGTCGCAATACTTCAAACATTTTTGATACTACACAGTATAATATGATTCTGTTAATCTGTTAAGGCATCATAAGTAGTTTTTTTTTTTTTTTTTTGGAGTTAGAGAGGATACTGGTATTTGAATATAGATTAATTAATTACCGTTAGATTATTAATGCTATTATAATTGACTGTTATATGATTAATTACTCTTTCCCCTTAAATTGTTGCAAATAAGTTAAAGAATATTAATTTAAAAAATATTTGCATTATTATAATTATTAAAATTCATTGTTGTAGCCCCGGAACTGTAATATATAAAATATCTGGTTTTACAATACCTTTATCAGTTCCAAAAACTTTTGGAAACTTTTGGAACTGATAAAGGTATTGTAAAACCAGATATTTTATTATAATTATGTTGTGAAAGCTAGACCCAGAGAATGAAAGTCGTGTAAACTCAACTATGGACCATCGTTGGTCCAACAAAAGTATCTTTTGTTGGTCCAACAGAGTGAAAAACGGTTGGACAACGGTTGGCTTGATGTATGATACCCAACAATAATGCATATTAATGTATTTCATTAACAATGAACCGATGTTTTGGTCCACAGTTGTAAATATTGGTTGGCCCAACTACGAGATATACAGTTGGACAACGGTTGGTTGGTTGTGGAAGCTCCAACCAACCATCGACCAACTGTCCCACAGTTGGCCCAACCATCTGTGCTACATGGGTTTTATGGCTTATTTTGGAATTTGCTTTGTGAAGTGTGGTAATTTTTTCATACATAAACTTGCATTAAAATAATTTATCATTGCTTTTCTTACCTGACGTTAGTAGGCTATACTCTGTGGCTCTAATTCTCTAATATGAAGCAGTGTCAAATCAGCTTTCCTGGGTCTTTTTAATTTCATTCATTAAACATTGAATAGTCTTATAGATATAACCAGTGCTCGATTTGTAAAAATGAGGTGCCGAAACTGTAACATTTAATGTGATTTGTACCTACATATGCCAGTATTTTTATCTTTCCGAAAGTGAGGTTCCGGGACTCCGTTTTGCTGCGCTCCCCCACAAATCGAGCACTGGATATCACTAAAAGACATTGATTTCTCACAGTCAGTTTCGTAACTAGAGCTAAAAGCAGTTAGATGGGGTACTGCACCTGATACCCATTGTAGGTCCAGGATCCAAACTTCATGATGCAACTTTGTTGGTCGAAAGGGAAATACAACACGTTTATCTCGCAAGAAGACTTGTAAATTGCCGGTGGCTTCCAGATCACTTCACCAGTGTACTTGAGTGTGGCTTTGGTCATCAGAGTAACTTCGTAGTTGCCATCTGCACTGCAATTACAGAAATTTGGTCAACGACTTCGGTCTATTTATTAAAAGACTTTGGTTGTACAACATGGAGTATTTAAGTGTAAGAGAGGGCCATGTGGCCCTAACTTTGCCTGTTTAAATAAATCATTTTCATTTCATTTCATGGAGGAAAACAGTAGGAGAGTGAAGATAAAAAAGGCAATGAAGACAAAAAATAGAAAATAGGTTTATGCAAACTTAAACTGTGTCATCTATGAAGGCAGTTAATAAAATGTCAAAACGTAAATTTTCAAAAAACAAATAACTATCACATAATAGCGTGTGACTTACCGATCTATTTCATAGCAAATACTCAACTAGTTAATTAACTGTTAGCTTTAAAAACAGACAATTTTGCAATCTTTATTTTCCTAGGTTGATACCTATAAGTAACATGGTCTGATGTAGGCTTTAATTTGTAACATTTATGGTGTTAAGTAGGCTACATCAATGTCCTTCCTCTTGCTCACCTGCCCATGTATTTATTTAAAAACATTTTCTGCCTCATAAACAGTTCAGAGTAAATGTGCTAATAGTGGATTAAAACAGTAGAATTATTTGTTCTTCTAGATGCATCTGGCTAAAATTCCAAACTGTACTGGTAGGAGTAAATAGCCCAATAAGGTAAGAAGTTCAACAAGACAATAATCTTGATGGTTTGCCTCTTTCTAATCGAAGCATGGAAAAGCAAATACCGAAAGACTTACTTGTTATAGAGCACAATGTCTGGAAGCCAAATGTGTTCAGAAGGAACGTACAACATCTCAACTCCTCCATACTCCTCTGGGTCCCAGCGCAACTTGTAGTCAACCCATTTCTGACCCAGAAAAGAACAAAAGTCAATAAGAAAGAAATAATGAGCCAGTTATTGACTGAAAAATGTATTTATGTTTCTTTAGGTTATCTTGTAAATTAATTAATAAATTTGGTGAGTCAGTGGCTCAGTTGGTAATGCACCAAGTGTTAAATCAAGGGAGCAATATCGAGATTTATCCTACTTAAAATTTAACAGTGGATTAATTCTTGAATTTTATCGACCTTTGTTTTACAAGAAACTTTCATGCACATTCCTGAGGTACATGTGGATGGATTAACTTAAAGCTAAAAGATTCGCTGTTAGCCTCATATAAAAATACTTAATTTAACTGTTTTCAGTGATTTAAAAAATCTCAACAATTAATCAAAATTTTCAACAATTATTAAGTAAAGTAATACACTGTAACAATAACATACAGCAATAACATGACAAGAAGAATGGAGTTATGTATTTAACTTTTTAGTTAGTTAGTTAGTTAGTGAACAATAGTATGATTATCGAGTTAGTTAAAAAGTCACTCACCTGTTCCACCCATACATTTGTAGTTAGAACTTGGTTCTTTAAATTCTGAAAAAGAAAGAATATATTCAAACAATTATACTGTAGGAATTTTGTTTGCCACCTTATCCAATAACGTTTATTTTGGTCAGTAAACAATTTAATATATCATTATTGCTTTGTTTACATTGATTAGTTCTTAATTGGAATCTAGAACTGAACTAAAAATAAGTTAGCCCATTGATAGTCTTTCTTAGTTCTTTCTTGTGAGTTGTGGCTGATCAAATGATAAAAATGTTAATTTGGTAAAAATGCTTGCCGCACACTGCAAAAACAAAAACTGAATGGGGTCCATACTGGATCATACACCAACACAATATATGTGCCAAATCAAAGTTAACCTTACAATTTAGTTTATTTTTATCAATAATAATTATAGAGAAGGACTAGGCGTAAGGATATAGAAAAAGAAGAAGAATACACATAAACTCGCTTTAGAATAGAAAGCTCTTCAGTAAAGTTAACACACACTTCTTCATAACAAAGAAATATGTGTTAAATTTAGTGTGTTAAATTTTATGTTTTAAACAGGTACAATATAAAGTGTTATTTGCCTGACCACTAGGCTTCAAATGACACTAGGCTCTAGCCGTTTTAAATATACAAAATACATTGGTGATTGGCTGGACTTGAACCCGTGACCTCAGGGAACAAAAGCCTGAAACTCCACCACTAGGCCTAGCAAAGATCTGTTTAGATAATAGATGGTGTCCATCTAGGGGTCAGACTGATAGGCTAACAAAGAAGAAGAAGAGAGGAGCGAATGAGATGGAAGGGAGGAAGAAGAAAATAAAGAAGGGCTGATGAGGAGGAGAATATGAATAAGGAAGTAGGTATGGTGGAAAAGGGGAGGAAAGAAGAGAACTTGGCAAAGAGTTACCTGACCAACGGAGGGGAAGGAGATTGATGGAGGGTGGAAGATAAAAGATAAAAATGAAACAAAAGAATTTTTTTTTTTTAGAGAAAACAAAAGCAATTCACAGCTGATATGTGCACCAACACAACACTTACCATTTCGATCAATTGAGTCAGTTTGAGTCCTAGCCAGACAGTGACGGATTCAGTGTTGTTGATGACAGGTCGTATCAGACGGTTGTAGTTGCTCAGCAGATCGTCATAAAGTCGTTTAGCGTCAGGAATAGCTTCTATCTGCTTCATACCTGTTGATAATCATCGAGCACTTTACACGACGTTTTAATTTTTCTTGACAAACACACACACATTAAATGAAATATATTTAATTATCAGAAATTGAATCGTAATCAAGGCTACATTTTGAAAAACGATGCCGTGTTGTTCCCCAAAAAACTGTGTTTGATACTGTAATTAATATTAGATTGCCGTTTTGGTTTAGTCAAACGGTAAGAATAGTACACACCACATTGATTAGAAGAGAAAGAGACAGCGAGTTCAGAATGATCCATTCTCCTGGACTGACTCTGAATCTGTTATACTTTTAAAAAAGCAATAGTGATGGATGCTTTGAATATTTTTTTCAAAAGCAGTTTTAGGAAATACCTAGGATTTTTTAGATATTCCTAAAAGTATGGAGACTAACCTAATTAAATCAAATCAAAACATTTTGCAGTTTGGAGTATATTTTAACGGCCTAATTTGATGGCTGACTTTTCACCAATGAAACTGGATACATATTTTCAGTGTGTTCTTGTGGTTTTAATTCAGGTTAAATCCAAAGTTCAAGTTCTAGTACTTGCAATGCAAAAGGACTTTAGAGAATTCTTGGGACAAAGGCTCTTGCCTAAGGGCAGAAGATAACAACGCTCTTGTAGAATTTGTTAACGCCTCTTGCTTGAAGTATGCAGAAGTAAATTGAATTCTTTTATGTGTTTTATCACGTAAAGTGCTCTACCACTAAACTAACGTTTTCCATTTTACGTATATTTTTATTTCGTTTAGTAACCCAAATCCAAATGCTCAAACGGACTAATTTATTCGTTTTATCGTATCTTCTCGTAGAAAAATGGTCTTTCTAGTTCTCGGAACACCAAAAGAGTGAAAGCAAAAACACAGTTCACTCAAATATTATATGTATAGGCTATCGTAGACACAATAATCTCGTAAAAAATATGTTCAATTTTGATACAATTTATCGCGCATGTCTGTATCTACATTTGGATAACATTTCAGAGTCTGTCTAATAGTTTTTACCTCCACAACAACAAACGACAAACAAAAACAAACGAATAAAAACAATCACGGACAGAAATTACCACCATTATACGTTATACTACATTTGGCTTTGTTTATATCTTAATCCATTTAATAAGTAATCTATGCACTAAACCACTAAAGTTACAAGATACGAGATAGCAGAAAACCTACACACATCGATTTAATCTCAATGAATGGTGTACATGCTGAGCTAGGAATTTAATAATAAGTATTTTTGATAGTAAATCATTTTGATAAAAATATAAAATCGCAATGTGAAATCATAAATTTGCGTAATGTCCAGGTAAAAAAAACCTTTATTCTCACGTTGCCCCTGTGTAAAATACCATAGGCGTGGAAAAAGTTTGATCGTGTGTCTAGAATGCTTGAAAACGTAGTTTTAATGCTGGGTTTATTTTCTCCTTACATTTTAAAAACTTGTTATGCTTATACGTTTCGTATTTTTTTAATTATTGAAATTAGAGGAAACATTAAAAGTATTTTTTCGCTGAGATATTTTATAAAAAAATAAAGTTGACTTTCTTAGTTGTAAATTATTATCGTTACCATCTAACGTAAAAATAGTTTAAAATATTAATTTAAGTTAGTATTAAATTAAAATGTGTTGATAAAACGTTATCAAATAAAAATATAATTTCCGAACAACGAGGAATAATAGAATAAATCCTTATATATAATTATTATAAATCGTCAACGAATATCGCAGGAGTTATAGTTACTAAACGAAATCACTATCCCAAGACAGAAATAAACCACCAAAAGTGATAATTTCCAATAATAAAAAGTAATAACTTAAAACATTTATATACCTCAGATAACACTTTAATTTCTTATTTACGGGTTTCAAAATATAATAAGAGGAAGCATGCTATAGCTCAATTTTCATGTACATACACAAATAAAAACAATAAACTTACCATTTGCTGAAGACGTGAGAAAATATAAGTAGCACAGAAAAAAGAACAGTCGGTAAATCATGTTCATATTTTTAATTGAAATTTAGATGGGAAATTAAATTGATAACATTAAGACCCTAATAAAATCGCTGACAAACATTGAGAGACCTAGATGCTGTCTGCTGTAGCTTAGGTTCCCACCCAAAACACAAGTTTCCCAGTTTGTCCAGTAATAATACCATTTATCCCGCTTTTGTTAGTTTTAAACACCTTTGTATCCCTTACAGTCCTTGCAATTATAGCACCATTTAAACGTCTCAAATTAAAAATGTATACAATTTATCTATTAATGCATTTATACACTCTTATGGAGAAAATAACTTAAACTATAACGTTGTACTGAGTCCCATAAAATGAAATATTAACCTACAATGCCACTTTATCCCTAGTATAAAAAATATTACACTTTAGGGATAAAATCCCACCAGGATAAATGCTTAAAGAGGCAGAATCCACCCATGGACCAGATCGATAGCGAGCAGAGCTGTCTGGCGACAAAATCGGCAAATGTTCAACCCTCTTCCCACCCCCTTTTTTAAAAACCTCCCGAATTTACTCAGTCTCAAATATGTTCTCCAGACTGTATGGCTGCTCGGATTTACCGTACTTTAATTTTACTTCATTCTTGCTCATTGGACTTCGAATATTTTGCTGGATGTGACTTTACCTTAGTATAGTTTCAGAGGACACATTCATTGTGTATATTACCAATAGTTATCTTATATATTATTACCAATCTGAATACTGAATATTACAGTGTTGAATTACATACAAATAGCTAAATTATGGCTTAAAATTGTCCCTATTTTGCAATTTTGTGAGAAAGCAAAGTTTGCCAGGTTCACCCGTTCATCACATTTTCCTCTTTTTATAGGCTGGTGTTGTATACAAAGTAATGAGTTAATGTTTGAATTCATCAGCCGGATCAGCCATTATTCTTATACCATACTGCACAATACCCCTGGAACCCTGGAACACTACATGTTCTACATTTAGTATATTGTTTTATATAGTGTACATTCTTTTATATCCAATCATGCTCGAAAACCTCTATGGCATTTCTGGCCAATGGAAATGACGCAAGTGTATGGTTTAAAAACATCTGACTTCTGTTGAAAACATGTTTTTCTATTTTATTTTCTGTCTCGCTCTTTTGATGACGTGTGACGTCAAAACTTACACGTTGGAAGTCTGCAGTTCAAATTGTTTTTGTTTTTATTGATTTAAAATGATCAAATATTTGAAAGTGGTGTTTTTTAAATTGTAGAAATTACCGTATCGTGTTATTTTAGTGCGGATGTATTGGTTGTGTTTGTGAGTGTTTAAATCATAAGTGTGACAGTGTCCGGTTAGAGCTAGGTCTAGCCTCAGAAGGCGAGGCCCACCTCCCAGCGTTGTGTACATTGAGGTCAAACTAACGGTACATTTTAAAACAGAAGCCGAATTCAATTTTAGCCCAAGACTTACCCTACCCATATTACCAGACCTAGGAGCTAAAACATAAGTTAACTTCTTATGGAACTATGACTTTACCCACTGACATGAGTTTCATGGATTTACTCCTTGATAAGGAGGATAATCTGTTAAACTTTGAAAAGGATCTGATTGATGATGGCATGAAATTCAGTCTAGATCACAAAAATATAAATGTAAGTGGGTTAAAATCTTACTTTATACCTAACTTGGTGACAATATGGGACTACAGGCCTACATTAGCTGATGTAATTTACACAATGGCTGAATGGTTACATCACATTATGAACATATGAACAATATGCCAAAGCGCATAGCATAATACCGGTACTCAAATATTAAGTTAGGGACCAAAAGTTTTGAGTCAGCAGATCCCTTATCCCGTTCACTCTATGAACTCCTTTGGCTTTGCGCCTTTCCATTAACTTAACTTATTTTCTCAAATTCAACTAAAGTTTAATCTACCTAGTTAATATTTGTAGAGGTCCTACTTAGGCCTAAACTTAACTTTAAACTTTAATTTCAAAATCTCGGTTACGGTACACTTCCGCAGAGAACCTACGATAGGAATATTTTATCGGATGAATTAGATAACCCTACCGTGTATGGAAACTTGTTGGGTTCGATACATCTATTACTTAGGCCTATATAATTTTTTTCCTATTGTAAACATTGATTACAAAATTAGTTTGTTTACGTTTTTAGGCATAAATAACTAATACCTAAACTTAAATAAAAAAAAAACTTATCACCTTAAAATAGGCCAATAACTTAAAAAAAAAACAATAACAACCAAAACGTAAGAAAATCTACACAATTTTCAATACCAGTGTTGATGAGGTAAGAACATCAATAAGTTAAATCAAATACCCCCGCCGCAGCAAACCTGCAGACTAAGCGAATTTCCATTTGACTGATTTGATTTACACTGAAATGTCTACTTACAAATATAACATTTATTCCCGATTTAAATAGAATTAGTTAAACAAGTACTTAGGTTTGCTGCATCAGGGAGGGTAAAACTGTTTTTTATGTGAAATGTTAATAAGATGTTAATAATGTTAGTAAGAAATAAAAACACAAATTTGATCAAAATATGTTCATAAACAAGCAAACTACAACAGTTTACTTATTCTCCATAAGAATAGCATGATAATTTTAAATTTACAATTTTTTGGAATTTTCTCCGTAACCATTAGGCGCATAATAACGCTTCAATATACTAAATTACCTATTTGTTTTTTTAAGCTCTACAAAATGGTTTGGAAAGAAATTGCTAAATTTTATGTTTTTTGGGTCAAAAATGGGAAAAACCTATTTTTACCCTATAAAACCCCCCGTAAACCCCCGCTCCCATGGTCCGATCATGCTGGATCGCGAACTCGTTTGAATAAACGTAGGTTTACACGCTTATACCAAATTTCATCAAAATCGGATCATTTTTGCTCGAGTTAGGCTATCGTGCTAACGGACACATATATGAATTTGAACGGATGGTGTTTTTGGCCTCTAGGGACCTCAAAACGAAAAAAAAAATCGGTCCCGCGTCCAGGTCTTACCATGAGTACTACGGTAATAGCTTATTCCCTAGGGTCAACCGGGGCTAATATGAACAAAAAAAGTAAACTTTTGACGTTAACTCAAAAATGGTAAATGACAGAAGAAAAGAAAAAATAGTAGTGTATACAGCTCTTTTAGCTGAATCTATTTATTTACTAACAAAAACCATAAATGTAACCATTATTAAAAAAAAAATTAAAAACCACTGTTCACATTAGCCCCGCTAAAAGGGGCTAATGTGAACAGCCCATGGGGCTAATGTGAACACTCTTAATAACTCTGTTATTTACAACACTAGGCATATGTGGGGGCTGTTGTGAACAAGCCTAGGGTCTAGTCTACCAGTTGCAATAAGTCTCAATATTTTATCTTAAATAGTTTTTGAGATATGAAGGTATCTTTGGAGAGCTGCGGGTCGCCCTACGGTAACCCTTTTTTTAAAACCATTTATAAATATTATACAGGGCTAATAATAAGAAATAAACAAGAAAAAAATTATCTGTCAACATACCTGAGTACCTATTTATTAAAAATTTCTTCCACATACAAATTGTTTAAAGCACTTAAAAAAACAATAATTTAAGACAATGCAAATTGTTCGTTTAGGCAAATGACAGTTTATTGCACTTTTAGGCCTATTAGGTAAATATAAAAATGTGGGCTAGGCCTGTTCAACACCTTAACTGTTGTCTTTGTAAAATTAAAACTGTTTTATCACTGTAAGGCCTTCAAAGAAGTTTATTGAGGAACTTACGCCTCAAAAACTTCGACAATTTTGTCGAAGACATACTTATGTCTATCACTGGTTCCACATACATTAGGGGCTGGAAGTTTCCCCAAAATGTCAGTGGTAGAAACAATAAATATATCATCTTCTTTTTTCAGGAATGATTTTTTTTCCTCATCACAGGATTTAAATCCCATCACTTCGATCTCCCCGTCAGCCTGAGCTTGTATATATAGTACAATATATACTGTATATATTGTTGTTCATAATAGCCCCCATTCACTGTTCACATTAGCCCCCCAACTTTGAAAGCTTATAACTTTGGCTGTTATTAATATATTTTAACTTTGGGAAAAGAAAAATAATCCCCAATTCTTATTTAACAAAATTCAGGCTTAAGATTATTCCTACAACCAATGTAAAAATTGTTATAACAAAAGTTTTCACTTTGCGCGGAAAAGTTTTTTGGGCGGAAAAAAAGTGTTTTAACAAAGTATTTTTTTAAAGTACCTAAAAGTCAAATTTGAAGTTTTCTCATTATGGACACAAAAAATACAATAAATTTCCTTTCTAATTATATTTTTTTCATGATTAAAAATCCCAGATAAATTACTTTTTAAGTCATTGTTCATATTAGCCCCAATATTTTGGTGTGTTCATATTAGCCCCGGTTGACCCTATATGGGAAATTCGCTAAAATTCACAATTTCTTTCATTTTTAACAATAACTTAAATATTTAAGTGGAAACAAGGGATAAAATGAATAACCAGATTCATCAATGTTATTGTTGTTTTTATTTAAAGGCCTATAAACTAGAATAGAATAACTTAGAATAGAATGTTTGTTTATTTTCTCTTTCAACACAGGTCACAATTATTGCATAATAAATTCACATTAATAATACCCCCGCCGCAGCAAACCTGCAGACTAAGCGAATTTCCATTTGACTGATTGGATTTACACTGAAATGTCTACTTAAAAATATAACATTTATTCTCTATTTAAATAGAATTAGTTTAACTAGTACTTAGGCCTAGGTTTGCTGCATCAGGGAGGGTAAAACTGTTTTTTTTTTGTAAAACGTTAATAGTTAGTAAGAAATAAAAACACTTTCCAAATTTGATCAAAATATGTTCATAAACAAGCAAACTACAACAATTTACTTATTCTCCATAAGAATAACATGGAAATTTTAAATTTACAATTTTTTGGAATTTTCTCCGTAACCATTAGGCGCATAACAACGCTTCGATATACTAAATTATTTGTTTTTTTAAGCTCTACAAAATGGTTTGGAAAGAAATATTGCTAAATTTTATGTTTTTTGGGTCAAAAATGGGAAAAACCTATTTTTACCCCATAAAACCCCCGTT